TCCGTACATAAAAATATGTTTTATTGCAGAAAAACAAATACGCCAGCGATGGAAATCAGCGAGAGACAATTATTTTAGGACAAAAGGGAATATGCGAAAAACGCCATCGGGAAGCGCTGCAAAACACAAGAAATATCTGTTTTTCGAGCAAATGATATTTCTTGATCGTATTTCTGAAAATGAAGTCACAGATTCATTGAGCGACAATCAGTCTAACGTATTTGAAGATTTGACTTATAGAGAAACATATTAAGCAGCCACATCTGCGAGTAACTTGAGTACTCCATCCCAGCTCTACAGACAACAAGAAAACACAGAAAATACTAATGATACTCCCAGATGGAATCAAAAGAGCAGAAATATACAGAAATCCGAACGATAAAACTTTGAAAATGAATTAATAACGTTATTGAACCAAAATACTTCCACTTCCAACTTAAGCCCTGATGATTCGTCATTTTTTGAGTCTCTTGCTCCATTTTTAAATAATTTAAGTGCTTATCAAAAGCTGCAGTTCCGCTCAAAGGTTCTAGGATTAGTCGTGGAGATTTCACCTCCAACGACTTCGACACCTAGCTTTTTATCAGCACCAAAAAATAATGTTAATTCAAATAACGCAAATTCCACATACAGTTACACAACTGGAACATCGCCGTGTCCTAATTATAACTATTCTACCTCTTCTACACTTAACAACTCTATGATTTGCAGTAGATTATCTAAATGTTATATCGGCAACTGACGATAATAATTCAAATTCTCAAATAAATCTGCATCTGTATTGATTTGATTTGTCGGCCTAGTGTTGATCCTCATTTAAGACGTTGGTGATTAAGCATTAGCTACAAAACAAGAGTGTGATTAAAAAAGACCGATTAAAAAATGTTAAAATTAATTTAAAAAAAAAAACAGTATATTATAATTCTAAATATAGATCTTGGCTATTCGTTGTGTGTGTGAAAGAATCATGCCCACTTTCCATACATTCATTGACCTGTCTCTTGATTCCTTTAACAGGTCACGTCTATCTACAACTAATGTTGTATGAAAACAATTATTGTTTATAATAACATAATAACTTATCACCTTTTCATTTAGAGGCCAGGGAAAAATGCTATTAAGTAAATAAAATTTTGAGGTTATAACAGCTGTCAGATAAGGTCTGTACACTTATTTTTCTTTTCATACCATAGTACAAAACCATTAAATAATAAGTTATAAAAATAGAAATTGGTTATTTTGAACATTCATAAACCACATGACGTATAAACTAGTTTTTCGTAGTCGAACGTAGTGAAACGGAACGTGGAAAACACGTTTTTAATATATTTTGGCATGACTTCTGGGCCTTTGAGCCATTGTCAAACACTTTAAACAAAGTAACATTACTTTTCTTCCTGGCTTTATTTGAAAATTCAATTATGCGATACGAAATAAGCAAAAAATATGCAATTTTATAAGATATTTTACATCACTAGACGCGTTAGAAAATTTTCAGGTCAATAATGGACATGATTCTTTCATTCACTTTTATTGTTTAGTTTTAAAATTATTACAAAACATAAAGCACGCATGGAGCGCTCTCCGTGGATGATCTCCCTAACAACGGTTTTATGACGTGATAAGAGAGTCAATATGTCAACGTCTCGCAGATATTTTTAAAATTATGTCTGTTAAATTACTGACAAACCGGAAATTATATATACACCACCATGTTTCTGCAAAATAAATACAATTTATAGTTATTCAATACTCTTTTATTTCACTTAACTTAGAGTGATCGCCAATTTTTCCACAGGAGTTATGGGGATGCAACGTAAGCCGGATCGTCATAAAGAAAACTAACTTGCAGAGTAATTCGTCGAAACTGCTTGTTGATAGGAGAAATTTTTTATATAATTTATAATTATTTTCTCGTAAATCGGAGAAAGATGTTAAGTGTTCACCTCTCAGTAACATTGTAGCGTTATAAGGATCAACTACTCTTCTTCTAAATCGCTGTGCGTTCTTTTCCATAAAATATAATCAGCCAGTTCTCTAACAGCATTAACGTGAGACATTTTGTATACGACTGTCTCACAGCAGCGGAACGCGTGGTACTAATCTCGTTTTATAGTGCACCAATGTTCAAGCGCACGCCGCTCAGCGGCGCGTCTAACGGCGTGACGATAAAACCAGTCTATGTTGTAACATAGCTTTAATTAAAGTTCATTGAAATAAATAAGTATTATATAAACCGCATTCATCAACAATTATTGACAATGTTTTTTGTTTTGCTAATGGCACATCCATGTCCATGCGGTGAAGCTAAGTTCTGCAAAATTCGCCGCAGAAAAACACAAAACCTCTTGATCACATTCTTAATTTCATGGCTGTTAGACGGGAAATGAAGCAGTCTTCAGCAGATTTGACAGCATACAGGCAACTGAACAGACAGATTTTCAAATGCATGCGGCGGGACTTACGTCACTTTAATACTGCTCGTATTGAAGAAGCCATCGAGCAAAACCAAGGCTCCAAAGTCTTTGCGAAAAAAAGCCAACTGACAAAGCTGAAAACCGAGTGAGATTGAGAGGTTCTATGGGCAGCTGTACACATCATCGTTGGAGGCACACGCAAGTGTGAGTAATGATCCAAGAGCAAGTGTTATCCCACATTATTCCGGACGTCAGTCCGAGCGAGATTAGAATGGCTCTCCAGCGAGTATGTATATACAGCGGAGTTTCTGAAAGCGGGTGGAAAACTGGTACTTAAAGTTCTTCAGAAGTTCTTTTATTCCGTCCTCCATGGTGGAAATACTCCGGAGACGTGGAGCAGAAGTGCGGTGGTCTTGTTCTTCAAGAAAGGCGACAACACTCTCTTGAATAAATACAGACCAATTTCCCTTCTAAGCCGCGTCTACGTGCTGGTTTCGAGAGTCACTACAAATCGTCTCGCACGCAGACTCGACGACTTCCAGCTTCCGGTTTCCGAAAAGGCTTCAGTACATCACAGTAGACCACATACATACTATTCGGCAGATTGTACAGAATATCGAAGAGTACAATCTGCCACTTTTGCCTGGCGTATATGGACTACGAGAAAGCCTTTGATTCCGTCGAAATTTGGGCGGTGCTGCAGCCAATTAAGCGGAGTCTATTTGATTGTCAGTACATTGAAGTACTGAAATGTTTGTGCAGCAGGACTACGGTCGCTATCCGAGTCTGTACTTGGACAGCCATTGATTCTCTAACCAGAGTTTTGTAACCAACCTACGAAACTTATACAACTTCAGAGGGGTGTAAGACAGGGTGACGTTATATCCCTGAAAATCTTCAACGTTGCATTGAAAGACGTTTTCAAGCTACTGAACTGGAAAGGATACGGTATTAATATCAATGGCGAGTACATCACTCACCTTCGATTTGCCGACGATATAGTCATTATGGCAGAATCGCTGCAGGACCTAAGCATTATGCTCAATGAACTCAATAGTGTCTCCCAATGGAAAAGTCTTAAGATGAACATGAACAAAACAAAGCTCATGTGACGAAGTCGTTGACGACCACGTTTAGCTACGACAAATAGTCAGACTTGGGCCGAGAAGTCAATCGACGGGTTCAACTCGGCTAGGCAGCGTTCGGAAAATTACGACACATCTTCTCGTGAGGTAATCAAAATCTGAAAACGAGATTGTACAACCAGTGCGTGTTGCCAGTGATGACTTACGGATCTGAGACGTAATCCTTCACTGCTGGCCGTACGAGGACGCTCAAGGTCCCTCAGCGAGCTATGCTCGGGGTTTCTATATTTGCAGTTAGGACCAGTGACCGACATAGCCCAACGGATTAGTAAGCTGAAGTGGCAATGTGCCGGCCATATAGCTCGAAGAACCGAATACCGACGGGAAAAATAGGTTATCGAGTGGCATCCTCGTACCGGAAGGCGAAGTGTAGGACGACCCCCCACTAGATGGAGTGACAACCTGGTAAGATATGCAGGAAGTCGATGGATGCAGGTGGCTCAGGACCGTGCTTTGTAGCATTCCTTGGGGCAGGCCTATGTTCAGCACTGGTCTTTTGAGGGCTGTAACGACGGAAAAAGCATCCATTGCTGTGTTTATGGAAAGGAAAAAAGTGGTAACCTTTAATAATAAGGTGAAAATAGTAAAGCTATCTTATCTTGAACCACGCAAATTATGACATTTTGCGTGGTTCAAAATATGCATAAACAATTCAACTACTTGTAGTAGAATTGTTTATGCATATTATTAAATTCTTGAATTTAGTTACTATTTTAGGATTCCCTCTATACTAGTAATTACTCAGAGCCGTAGCGGACTATAAAGATTTTATCTATGAAAAATGTCAATTTATGAGTTGTACAAATCACTGAACGATATTAAGGTAAGCGGTAAAACCGGTTTGCTGGTGGCCGCGGTCGGCGGTGGCGTTACGTGCAGAAGCTCAAATATACCATTTTTAACTTGAACATACTGTATGTACCCTTGATCGCTATTATACCAGTTTTTTCATATAAGATTGCAGTTATTTCAGTTTACATCGAGATCATACAGAGTTATTATTTTTTCTATATTTGAAAAAGGTTGATTCTTCAGCCTATTCTATGACGCCATCTTTAGCAAAAATATGAAATGCGATTAAAAATTAACTACTGCTTGGAAAACAAAAGTGATTAAAATTGGTGTACTTTATATATAAAGCAAAATGTAAAAACTACACCTTAAAATTATTTACATACCGAATTCTTAAATTGTTACATTCACAAATCTATCGTATGTACTAAAGTCCAAACAGGATACACTCATTTACAATATATTTAATGCAACACAGTTTATACACAAAATGACTTAAATGGCTACTTTTAATACAATATTATCTTTAATACTTTTCACTAATTACACTGTAATCTTTGGAAAATCACTCACTAATTAATGATAAATAATATAACTCGCATCAGCTCCACAAGTCGTCATACATGATATGACTGAAGTCCATTTGTCATTCATACTGTAGCGGGTCCACCGACAAGTTGTCAACTGCAACCTCTGTCTTGTCTTCCAAGTACTGATCATCTTCAGACTGGGAGACATCGGAACTTGAATTAGATTCGGAATTGCTGTCTGATTCGTCTTTCTGTAATAGAGATGAATGTAATAATAAATTTTTCGCCTAATACAGGACATATACAGGACGACTAAGCCGTGTAGTGGCGGTTGAGAATATCCACTACCCCATATCTTCCCGTGGGTGTCGTAAGAGGCGACAGAGGGACACAGAAAGGAGATGGGCAGCAGCATCTTCCTAATTACAACAATAACATAATAAAAAACTGCGGTTGCCAACCCGCTCGCCAAGCGTGGCAACTATGGCAAATATCCCCCCATGAGCAACGACGCAAATAAACGGCCCCCAGTCCCCGGCGGCCCCGCTATTCCTGGCTACGGTGGTGACCATGGTAACGGCGGGGCAGGGGGTGCTAAGAATCTCCGGTGGAGGTTCGGTTGCCACCTACGACGACTCGACCTGTCAACGTATAACGCACGCACCCTGAGGACTGACGAGAAGATTCTGGAGCTGGAAGAAGAGGTAGACAAGTTGCGCTGGCATATTATTGGATTATCTGAGGTCCGAAGAGAGGGGAAGGACACGGTAATCCTCGAGTCCGGCAACTTGTTCTATCACCGGGAGGGCGACCATCTGTCCCAAGGAGGTGTCGGATTTATCGTCCACATGTCTCTCGTCAACAACGTTGTAAAGATTGGGAGTGTGTCGACGAGGGTCGCGTACCTGATACTCAGAATCACCAAACGGTATTCGCTGAAGGTCATACAGGTCTACGCACCAACCTTGGCACATCCCTATGAGGAGGTGGAGGAAATGTATGAGGATATTTCTAGAGCCATGCATTCCTCCAAAACCCACTACACGGTGTTGATGGGAGACTTCAACGCAAAACTAGGCACAAGAGAAGGCGGTGAGCTGAAGTTAGGGAAATTTGGAGTAGGGCAACGGAACCGTAGGAGCCAGCAGCTGGCTGACTTTATGGAGAAAGAGGGACTCTTTATGATGAACTCTTTCTTCCAGAAGCGGCCCCACAGGAAGTGGACCTGGTCGAGCCCCGACGGTTCGACAAAAAATGAGATTGAATTCATTATGACGACCAGACGCCAACTGTTCAGTGATGTCTCAGTGATTGCAGGGGTGAAAACCGGCAGCGATCACCGAATGGTTAGAGGCACACTGAACCTAAACGTTAAGTTGGAGAGGTCTCGTCTAATGAAGTCAACGCTCCGTCCTCCTCGTGCTCTAATCCAGAATCCCGAGACTTTTCAGCTCGAGTTACGTAACCGCTTTCAGTGCCTAGAAGATTGCAATGCAGTGGACGATATGTATGACAAGCTCGTAGAAATTGTCCATGCGGTCGGAGCTAAGTTCTGCAAGACCCGCCGCAGAAGAATACAAAAACTCTCCGATCACACTCTTAATCTCATGGCTGTTAGACTTGAGATGAGGCTGCAATCGTCAACAGATTTGACAGCATACAGGCAACTGAACAGACAGATCTCCAAATGCATGCGGCGAGACTTACGCAACTTTAATACTACTCGTATTAAAGAAGCGATCGAGCGGAACCAGGGCTCCAAAGTCTTTGCCAGAGATCTGTCTGTCAGAAAGAGCCAACTGTCAAAGCTGAAGACTGAGTGTGGCAGCATCGTTTCCGGGACACCTGAGATTTTGAGTGAGATTGAGAGGTTCTGTGGGCAGCTGTACACATCATCGTTGGAGCCACACGCAAGTGTGAGTAACGATCCAAGAGCAAGTCTTACCCGACACTATTCCGATGATATCCCGGACGTCAGTCTGAGCGAGATTAGAATGGCTCTCCAGCACCTTAAAAACGGCAGGGCCCCAGGCGAGGATGGAATTACAGCGGAGCTTCTGAAAGCGGGTGGAACACCGGTACTTGAAGTCCTTCAGAAGCTCTTCAATTCCGTCCTCCATGGTGGCACTACTCCGGAGGCGTAGAGCAGAAGTGCGGTGGTCTTGTTCTTTAAGGAAGGCGACAACGCTCTCATGAAGAACTACAGACCGATTTCCCTTCTGAGCCGCGTCTACGTGCTGTTTTCGAGAGTCATTACGAATCGTCTCGCACGCAGACTCGACGACTTCCAGCCTCCCGAACAAGCCGGTTTTCGAAAAGGCTTCAGAACCATAGACCACATACATACCCTGCGGCAGATTGTACAGAAGACCGAAGAGTACAATCTGCCACTTTGCCTGGCGTATGTGGACTATGAGAAAGCCTTTGATTCCGTCGAAATTTGGGCGGTGCTACAGTGTCGATGGCTATCCGAGTACAGAACCAGAGTTCGAAATCTATCCAACTGCAGAGAGGTGTAACGTTGGGTGACAGGGTGACGTTATATCCCCGAAACTCTTCACCGCTGCGTTGGAAGACGTTTTTGAGCTACTGGACTGGAAAGGATACAGTATTAACATCAATGGCGAGTACATCACTCACCTTCGATTTGCCGACGATGTAGTCCTTATGGCAGAATCGCTGGAGGACCTTAGCACTATGCTCAATGACCTCAATGGTGTCTCCCATCGGATAGGTCTTAAGATGAACATGGACAAAACAAAGATCATGATCAATGTCCATGTCACACCTATACCGGTAGTTATTGGGAGCACTATGCTCGAAGTTGTTGACGAGTACGTTTACCTGGGACAAATAGTCCGACTAGGTAAGTCCAACTTCGACCGAGAGGTCAATCGACGGATTCAACTCGGCTGGGCAGCGTACGGGAAATTACGACACATCTTCTCGTCAGGTATACCTCAATCTCTGAAAACTAAAGTGTACAACCAGTGCGTGTTGCCAGTGATGACTTACGGATCAGAGACGTGGTCCTTCACTGCTGGCCGTATGAGGACGCTCAAGGTCGCTCAGCGAGCTATGGAGAGGGCTATGCTCGGAGTTTCTCTGCGTGATAGACTCAGAAATGAGGATATCCGCAGTAAAACCAGAGTGACCGACATAGCCCAACGGATTAGTAAGCTGAAGTGGCAATGGTCCGGCCATATAGCTCGAAGAACCGATAACTGATGGGGAAGAAAGGTTTTCGATTGGCAGCCTCGTACCGGTAGGCGTAGTGTAGGGCGACCCCCCACTAGATGGAGTGACGACCTGGTAAGACATGCAGGAAGTCGATGGATGCATGTGGCTCAGGACCGTGCTTTGTGGCATTACTTGGGGGAGGCCTATGTTCAGCAGTGGACTTGTGAAGGGCTGTAATGATGATGATGACAGGACAACTGCTGGGCTCTTGCTTAAACGTAGTTCACACTGCAGTTATATTAAGGTAGTAGCACGAATGGGTTGGCTCGACTCTGGTAGAACCACGCTCTTGCAGAATACTAGCGTAAAATAGCTGATGTGTTTCGTAGGGTGAGTGTAGAGAACCGGAGATCCTTTTTACTGGAAATGAGGCATTTTATCTTAGATCTCAGGGGTGACAACGCATCTGCATTTTAATTTTTAATCGAGGATAACTGGTGATGACGATACCTTTGGGCTACAGCATCTACTTATCCCCTGGTCATGTACTCGTTTGTGACTTATTCTATAAACAGAGGCGCGTACACTGCGCACGTACCTTGAGCGTGAACACGGCGTGGGGCGGCGGCGCGGAGTGATAGCGGCACGCGTGTGGCGCGTGCACTGCACACGTACCTTGAGCGTGAACACGGCGTAAGGGCGGCGGCGCGGCGTGATATCGGCACGCGTGTGGCGCGTGCACTGCTCACGTACCATGAGCGTGAACACGGCGTAAGGCGGCGGCGCGGCGTGATAGCGGCACGCGTGTGGCGCGTGCACTGCTCACGTACCGTGAGCGGCAACACGGCGGAGGGCGGCGGCGCGCCGTGATATCAGCACGCGTGTGGCGCGTGCACTGCTCACGTACCATGAGCGTGAACACGGCGTAGGGCGGCGGCGCGGCGTGGTAGCGGCACGTGCGTGGCGCGTACACTGCGCACGTACCTTGAGCGTGAACACGGCGTGGGGCGGCGGCGCGGAGTGATAGCGGCACGCGTGTGGCGCGTGCACTGCACACGTACCTTGAGCGTGAACACGGCGTAAGGCGGCGGCGCGGCGTGATAGCGGCACGCGTGTGGCGCGTGCACTGCACACGTACCTTGAGCGTGAACACGGCGTAGGGCGGCGGCGCGGCGTGATATCGGCACGCGTGTGGCGCGTGCACTGCTCACGTACCATGAGCGTGAACACGGCGTAAGGCGGCGGCGCGGCGTGGTAGCGGCACGCGCGTGGCGCGTGCACTGCACACGTACCTTGAGCGTGAACACGGCGTAGGGCGGCGGCGCGGCGTGATAGCGGCACGCGTGTGGCGCGTGCACTGCTCATGTACCATGAGCGTGAACACGGCGTAGGGCGGCGGCGCGGCGTGGTAGCGGCACGTGCGTGGGTGCACTGCACACGTACCTTGAGCGTGAACACGGCATAGGGCGGCGGCGCGGCGTGATAGCGTCACGCGTGTGGCGCGTGCACTGCTCACGTACCTTGAGCGTGAACACGGCGTAGGGCGGCGGCGCTGCGTGGTAGCGGCACGTGCGTGGCAGCGGCAGGCGCGCCACCGGCTCGACGCACGACGCACACCCGCGCGGGTCGCCGCACGCTGTGAACAGCACCTGCCGCAAACACATTCCTATATACTCGCTACAAAATTTCGGCTTTTCGTACAGAAGGATAATTTAAATTTCAATATACATTTTTATACTATCCACACATAAAATATGCATATATTACACGAAAAACTGCCTAATATTAAAAAAAATTGTTGTAAAACTGCATCATCATGCAAAACCCATCAAATATTTTTAAACTCTTACAAAAAGAAGTAGATGTCATGACGGCTCCACATTATCGCCGTGAATTCACGCGCAAATTCACGCGCGAAATCACGCCATGAATTCACGGCAAAAGTCGTGCCCTCCACATTCACGGGATGCTCACAATCGTTCGTGAAACCCGCCGCGAAATGGACGTAGAAGCTGCTGCTGCAATAACTTTATTTGCTGTGGCAACGTATCACTAATTATTTATTAGAAAGCGTTGGAAAATAAAAATATGGTGTATGACTAAAATACATCGACCGTACGCCTTTGTAGTCCGAAACGAACTGGCACGGTGCCGTGAATGTGTATGTGTACGCGTGAACACCGCGCGAAGGGTGCGTGTATCCTTTGTCGCGGGACGAAATACCGACTCTGATCGGGGAACAGGATTGTTCAAAACATTCACGTTCACACCTGTTTACGGGAACTTCACGGCGAAAATGTGGAGCAGCGGTTAGATGTCTCTTGGCGACGCGAGATAAACATCTCACTAAATCATTCATTGTTTCTTAAATGAACCGTTTCTTAAAGATAATTAATTAAAATAATATTTTTATTAAAGTGTGAAAATGCATGTGATAGCGATTTATTAATGTTTTGGATATATTTTCATAATGAAAATAAAAATGTATATAATAAGAATGTATGTATATAATGTATATGTCGGTACCTGCGCCATTGCACGTGCAGCAGCGCCTCGGTGGCAAGTCGGAATTATTGTAAACAACACGTGCACCGCACGCCTGCGCATTGCACCTGCGGTGGCGCTCGGGTAGCTACTTGTCCCGATTGTATAAAACGGACGGAGCGGCCGCCGTTAAGCTGCGCCCTCTTTTCCCAAAAGAGGGTCGCTCATGATAAGGCACAATAGAGCTTAATCAGCCGGTTGCCTGTCCCCAAAGGCGGTTTTTAGAGGGTATCACTTAGGGTCCCCGGTAGGACAGTGAGCCCCTCATAACCACGATAGACCGGCTATCGTGGTATGCGTAATGCATTTTCCGCCTCCCTACGTATAGGGTAGCCCTTTAATTGCTTCGGGCGCAAAAAAAAAAAAAAAAAAAGCCGTTAAGGCAGTCATGGCTCTAACGTAGCACGGTTCACTTGTTGTATCCCGCTGCTAGCTCATCCTAGACTATTCGCGATAATTAATTCGTGGAAACGAATTAATTATTATCAGCTATTAAATTAGTTTCAGTACAATTTATAGTTGAGACGTGATCCGTGTAATCTGTGACTTTAAATTAATTCTAATTAACTACCTTCCTACATATATAATATAATAAGAACGTAATAAGAATTCTAATCTAGTAATATAAAATACCGAAATAATAAGAAAAATATTTGCTAAAATTAAAGATTTAATTTTGCTTAAAAGTTTTAATTCTTGCATTAAACCATTGTATTGTTTAAGATATGTTTAAGATGTGTGTTTCCAGTTTTAAATCAAAAAAGAAAACGAAAGTAATGAAAGTTCAGTATCGCATTTCCAAGGGGCATTTGCGAACAATCACTGTTTAATTTAATAACGTCTTCAGTGTCCACCATAAAAGTAGGGAAGTAATAAGGTATACAATCCACGAAGTACATTACTGACGTCAGGACCGGGAACATTCCTTGAGGCTCGTAATCTTATCCGTCAACAGGTCGAACGTCTTATCAGGGATCACACCCACCGCGTTGCTTCCCGAACCCAACGAGGTGTGGTATAGAAAAGGGGGACAGTAATTGGTTGATCACTGCTGCGGGCGTGAGATGAAGAACGAGATGCTTCTTTTCAGCGTTTGCGTTATAGCATGGTGCGGGTGACAGGTTGACAGGTCATTAGACGTAACTTGTGTGCGTTTGCAAGATTACAACATTTATAACTATGATAAAATAACACTGAATTTGTTTTTTTTTCTATTCTGTTATGACTAATAAATTAACATTAATTTCAAAAATCTCACCTAATGTAGTTTTTTTAGTAATCTTATCTTAATATATATAAATTACGTGTCACGTTGTTTGTCCGCGATGGATTCCTAAACTACTCAACTGATTTCAATCAAATTTGCTCACCATGTGCAGTTCGGTCCAACTTGAGCTCACTGGCCCATACCGCAAAGGAAAAAGCTGATCTTCTAGGCTCTTTCTTTGCGTCCAACTCGACTCTCGATTACGGGGGAAGTACGCCGCCGACCATCCCGCGGTGTGAGTGCTCCATGTCGGAAGTGCAGTTCACACAGCGCTCGGTTCGCAAAGCACTCCTCTCCAAACAAACATAAGTCGAGTGGGCCTGACGGAATCCCCCCAATTGTGCTGAGGATGTGTGCTCCAGAGTTGGCACCGGTTTTAACGCGTCTTTTCCGGTACTCCTACTCCCTACGCGTAGTCCCAAAATCATGGAAGACGGCTTTCCTCCACCCGATCCCTAAAAAAGGCGACCGCTCAGACCCGTCCAACTACCGGCCTATCGCCATCACCTCCTTGTTCTCCAAAACAATGGAGTCCATTGTAAACTGCCAGCTCATGAGGTACCTTGAGGATCACCAGCTGATTAGTAACCGCCAATACGGTTTTCGCCGTGGTCGGTCAGCTGGTGATCTTCTGGTCTACCTAACTCACAGATGGACGGAGGCAGTAGAGTCCAAGGGCGAGGCATTGGCCGTTAGTTTGGACATTGCGAAGGCCTTCGATCGGGTTTGGCACAAAGCACTTCTTTCGAAGCTCCCATCCTATGGGCTTCCCGAGAAATTGTGCGATTGGATCACCAGCTTTCTTGCAGATCGGAGCATCAAGGTCGTTGTAGACGGTGCAAGCTCTGATTGCAAGCCTATTAATGCTGGTGTCCCACAGGGCTGCGTGCTGTCGCCAACGCTGTTTCTTCTGCATATCAATGATATGTTGCAAACCGACGTAACATTCATTGCTATGCAGATGACAGCACTGGTGATGCTCTTTACACCGGCCGAGCCAATATTTCTCGGGAAAACCTCTCCGAGTGCCGGGACAAACTTGTGTCTGAAGTCGAGTCTTTGCTGAACAGAATCTCGGATTGGGGGCGACTAAATCTAGTCCAGTTTAACCCCCAGAAGACACAAGTTTGCGCATTAACCGCTAAAAAGAACCCCTTTGTCGTCTCTCCTCAGTTTCAAGGCACTCTCCTTGTTGCCTCAGCCAGTATCGGAATCCTCCGCGTCGACATATCGAGTGACGTGCAGTTTCGTGGTCACTTGGAAGAGGAGGCCAAATTGGCCTCTAAAAAGCTTGGCGTGCTCAGCAGAGCGGGACAGTATTTCATGCCGGCACACCGCCTGCAACTTTACAAGGCGCAGGTTCGGCCGCACATGGAATACTGTTCCCATCTCTGGGCTGGGGCTCCCCAGTACCAGCTCCTTCCACTTGACCGCATCCAGCGCAGAGCGGCTCGAATCGTCGACGACCGAGTGCTTTCCGATCGGCTCGATTCGCTGGCACTGGGAAGAGATGTTGCATCTCTTTGCGTATTTTATCGCATCTATCATGGAGAGTGCTCTGAGGATTTGTTCGGATTAATCCCAGCCGCCAAATTTCGTGAACGCACTACGCGGCAAACGTCCCGATACCATCCACAATGGTGCTTGGCGGTCCACCACTGTACGTTTCAAGAGGAGTTTTCTTCCGCGTACAACCTCTCAGTGGAATAGTTTACCACCAGCGATTTTTCCGGACCGATACGACCTGGGGACCTTCAAGAAAAGAGCGTACTCCTTTCTAAAGGGCCGGCAACGCACCCGCAATTTTGGTTGATAGGGAGTAAGGTGAGCCGCATGCTCGTTTGCCCCCTCTTCTATAAAAAAAAAACTCGCTTATGTACCGTGTGTCCGTCAAGACCACAAACTAATAAGAGTACTAACGTACAGACGACAATCTTCCATACTAAAAAATTGGTCTATAGCAGCCTCAAAAATTGAAAGTGACATTTACGTTTTTAAATTTATCTAAGGCAAAGGTATTTATTTGTTTCAGCCTAGTGGCCAGTGGCTGTAAAAAAACCCTCCTAGAACTTTGAAAATTTATTTTTATTGGTTTAAACTTATGTACGTGTTCACAACGTGACCACGTACATAAATTTAAACCGCTATTAACGTTTATTTATATATAAAGAAATAAAATACAGAAATATTTATTAAGTCTTTTATTTTTACATTTCAGTGTAAATTTACAAGTGCAAGCAAATTCTTTCCTTCTAGGTGCAAAACATCAATTTCTTTTAAATATTGCCACAGCCATTGAAACCTTTATAATTACAATCTAATTTTTTATCGGGGGGAACTGATGGTTCTTTGCACATAGGTCACATATTCAATTCAAATGATGTAACAACTTTTCTCAAATTTTTCTCCTTGTAGTATTTATGGTTTGTGCTTGTTGCTCCCCCATTTACCAAATATGCAGCAATATCTATTTAATAGCCGAGTACTCCTAGGCAGTTTTCAACCTGCAACAAAAATAAAATTAAAAAAAAGTAATAATGAGTTGATAAAACATAGTAGCATTTTATTTAAGATTGTGTGAGTATTGCAAAGGTTCTTTTTAGATACAATCAGTCACTAAGGGTTAAGTTTTCAATGGTCACATATAAGTTATTCATAAAACAAAATCTAAGGCTTTTCCTTTTTTTATGTATTTTGTGTTAAAAATATGTAATTTGTTATTTGTGTTTTGTTACTAGTGCTTCAATGTATTCTTTGATTGAGTAGAAACATTTTTCAATTAAATAATAATAATGTTTTTAGTTTTTTAATGAATAGTGTAATTTTATTTTCAGTTTTTATGTGGATATGTAATTTATTGTAAATGTTGTGTTTTTACAGCCATGTAGTAGCGACTGGTTTAGCATTTTAATTCTTGATGGTGGTAGGTATAGTTTGTCTCTGTGGTGTGTATTGAAATAGTGGTTGTCTTTTATTTATTTATTTATTGCATTTACATGTGGTTTTGTATGATAAATTACAGCACATGCACCCAGCAAAAGTATAACAATATGAAATCAAGCTAGCTAGCTCTAATGCCTTAATTGTAATACTAATATTTGTATTATTATAATATTTAGTGTATATTCCATTACTATATTTATTTATTTACTTTAACTTAACATAATATTCATATAATTTATAGTAACATTTCTTAATCAAAAAGCTATTTAGTGCTATCACAAACTTCTTATATTCTTCTATTTCTATTATATCTTTGAGTAATGTGTTATATAGTTTAACTGCCATGGAATATGGTCCAGAACTGTATAAAAATAAAGTGGTTTTAGGCAATATTGATACATTTCTCTTCGTAAGTTGTATATTACATCTATGTATATTATCATCACTAGCTTTTTGAAATATACCTATCTTAGCATTTTCTTACTAATTTTCATGATTCTAATATGTATAAAGATGTAACTGTTAATATCTTGTATTGTATACAATATAGTCTACAGCTTCCCTAGTCAATATTTGCTAGAACTCTTATTTTGACATTTGATACATTTTTACTTTTGAGAGGTGATTTATGTTCTTGAGAACAAATATGAAAATATCAAATATGTATAATGATAGTAGTGTGAGAATGTTATGTTTAAAAAGTAGGGCCTACCATTGTCAAGATCTTGTAATCAACTCGCCTGCCAAGTTTGAAAACCAAGGCATATACACTATCTTGCGCCAACTATGACAAAATCTTCCGTAAGTGGCAATCTATGGAGAATGCCTGCAGTCAGCAGCAGGCTTTCATAGGATGTATATTTATAGGAATAATGAATTAAGAAAAAATAAATAGAAAAATTACTGACCGGTCGTGATCTCAGCTTCTGTAAACAACGTGAGATATGCATCCTGGTTACTTTGATCTTAGATCCTGGTGAATACCAGATTTATTCTGGATAACAAATCGCAGCTCAAAGTGTCGGTAGCACACATCATCATCATCAGCAGCAGTCCACTGCTGGAAATAGGCCTCTCACAAGGCGCGCCACTTAGCCCGATCTTCGGCTACACGCATTCAGTTTTTATCAGCCACCTTGCGCAGATCGTCGCTCCATCTGGTCAGGAGGCGTCCCACACTACGCCTAGACGCGGTCTTCACTCCATAACACATATATAATAAAAAGTAGCACACATGCAACTTATTATTATGTAAGTTCTTGTACATACTACATAGATTACTGTATTTATTTATGTTCTTGTACTTAACCTTTGAATTTTTTACACTTTATGTCGTCGCGTAATGGCCGCGGCGCATGCCGGTACACAGTAGGATGTGGACAGAAACGTCAAAACAAACGTCAATCTAAATCCGTATTAGCTACATATTTATACATTTTGTAGTCAATAGCTGTCAACATCGATTTTTGAGGGCCATAGACATAAGGCTAGGAATATTTGTATAGAGATTACCACCCGTGGTCAAGACTTAGTATTTGTACCTCCCTAACTATTAGTTTTTAAATTTTGCGAAACAAATATTTGCAATGTAATATAATAATCATCACTTGATTTAGAAAACAATTTACTTGATCGTTCGAATAATAATAAGTCTAGTCCTATTTTCTATATATATTTAGATATATATATATATATATATATATATATATATATATATATATATATATATATATAATACGGTAATAAAAATAAATAATTTAACAAAAACGATTATCGATGTCGATTGTTGCTAACATTGCGAACGAAATCACTATAAATTAAAGATGTCATGTCTTGTAAAGTAACGTTACACATATAACACTACTACAATAGGGTAAATTTTTCTAGTCAGACAGAAGATACGAGTGTACTAACTCTCATATTTGGCACAGTATAAAGAGACTAAAGATGACTTGATATTTCTATTTCCACACATGAATTACACGCAACATCTTTCAATAGATTTTTGTCTTCTTTTGCCTTGTACATTGACTCAATTTATGTAAAATTGTACGTTTTCTCTATACATATTTATGTATGTAATTATTCTAAGAATAATACCAAGTTAAGTTATGTCATTTTTTTATTTATTAATAACAAAGGACAATGGCGAAATAATAGCTGATGGAAATATTAAGCGTCTACAAAGTCACCATTATAGATATCAATCAAATAATTTACTGTTTTATATAATCATACTTATAGCCTAGCGAAGTCTGGAAAAAATCATCATACATAATTTAAAACTAAATTGATTAGTTGTTGTGGCAAATTGTTGATGGAATTAATAAGCGCCTACTTATGTCACCATTATGGATATTAATAAAATAATTTACTATGTATTATCAAATCAAGCTTATAGCCTATCGAAGTCTGGAAAAAAAATCATCATACACAATTCAAAACTTAATTGACTAGTTGTTGTAGATGTAACAATTCGTCAGTTAAGACAGTCAAAGGTCTTATCATACAGGCGAGTTTGACGTGTATTTTATTCTGAAAACTCTTTTATATATAATAATGCGATCTTAAAGGATTCCCTCTATGCTAGTAATTACCTTACATATTTATATGTGAAAATTATATTGACTAGTTGTTGTAACGATTTGCCAATTAAGGCGTTTTATACCATATAGCCTAATCTGATGTGAATTTAGTTTAAACTGGAATATCTGTAATTGCTGACTTTCTGCAGTAGTATGACCGAAGAGAAAAATGTTCAGGATTTCAAACTCTATATTTTTACATATTTTGTATTTGTAGACACTAGAAAAAATGTTAACTAAAATTTGTTCGAGTTCACCATTGTCCAGTCTAGTCTGTTGATTTATTCTTAATAATTTATTTGTTCTAGTTTAATGTTCTTTATATGCATAAACTAAATGACTTACTTGATGCCTGTCATGTAGAATGTGTTTGAGGCAGTGCTTAGCTGCGGGCAATACATGGTTAGCGCAGCGCACTCCTCCCTCTGTGAATGTGCACCGCCCTTGAGATGGTATATGACGATGTGATGATGTGTCATTCACCTGTAACATTGATTTAAAATAATGTAATACATTATATTTCCATTATATTTGTAATTATTAAGTCAAATTACTAGGTGGTAGGACTCTTTTTGCCTAGGAGTCTGTCTGGATAGTTATCACCCTCTTGCCTATTTTTGGCGACAAATAGCAGTGCTTTTTTTTATAGGATAGGGTGACAAACGAGCACACAGTCCACCTGATGGTAAGTGGCTCATGGACATCTACATCCATCCTCGATTACAAAACAAATGCACATGCGTTGTCACCCGTGAGGACTTAGATGGAATGCCTCGTTTCCAGTAAAAAGGGTCTCCGGTTCTCTACACTCTCCATACAAAACACAGCAGCATTAAGCTACTATTTTACGCTGGTATTCTGTGAGATCGTGGTCCTTCCCTGGTCGAATCGACCCATACGTGCTACAAATATACTACTAATATAACTGCAGCATGGCTCTAACACGTATATAATTGCGTGCTTGTATAATTACAGGCTTAGAGGCATTCCATCTTAGTACTTAAAATAATAATGCAATCTGGAGCTTTCATAGTTTAACATTGACGGCAGTATATCAGTAGCCACTTACCATAAAGCGTGTCACACACTATGCAGATAAGATATCTGTATCTGAGCGCATATCTTTCAGTATAGCTCTCTATGAAATTCAATGAACAAACACACACAGCTGAGATAATTTATATTATATCGTAAAATATCTGTAAGCACAGACATAAACACATCAACAGAATGTAGGGATACCTTAATCCTAAATGATTTACGACTTTACAGTTTAAAATCTTTTTAGTTTCCATAAAAAGTTTATGTACAGTTTGAATCCTTTTTTATTCTGTTTGCAAAATTGAAAAATGTAAATAAAAAAACAAAATACGACAGAAAATGATTAGTAAGTCATTACGTGAAGGAAAATTAAAATTGTTCTACTGATATTAATTAATGAAAAGGGATTAGATTGTTTTTCTTTTTTAATTTGACGAGCCGTTGTGAGCTTTAAGAGTCATGTCACATCGTCATTTGAGTCGAGATGAAATGTTATGAGCCGTGGGCATGTTAGAAATTGTGCTATTCAATGTGTTACCTACACACCAGCCAAAACGTGATATCAAGGTTGTGGTCATGTTATCACGAGTTTAGAGAACTCCAGGGATAGTTAGCCGTCTACGGCATCCTCGGAAGGTCCAGTCATACCAAGGCGGGACAATCATGATGTGGGCAGGAATTCATCTCGGCGGACGAACCCATCCAGTTTGAATCCAAGGAAGCATGACTGCACAAAAATACCACAAGGAAGTAGTAGAGCCTGTTATTGTCCACATAGAATCCAAATGGGCCATCAATTTCTACTCATGCACGATAATGCTCCTTCCCATACAGCGCGGCTGGTGGCGGCCGCTCTCCGAAACCACGATATTCAAGTTTTAGATTGGCCAGCACGGTCGCCCCACTTTAATCCCAGTGAGCATGCCTGGGACATGTTACAACAAAAAGCTTTGAGAGATATCCTCCCTTTTTGAAGTCGGTTAAAAAAAGGAAGGCAATAATACATTTATAAGTCAGTTTTCTACGGGGTGAAAAACTAAGTACACAGTCCACTGCATTCTGTGAGTGTGATCTTCCCCGGTCTAGCCGACCCATTCATGCTACAACTAGCTACAGCATGGCTCTACCATTTAAAAATGTTGTGTTATACCTTAGCTCGCTTGTGATATAACTTCCTTGCTAGCACCGCGTCGACGCCATGTTTCCTGTGGTAACCAGCATAAGCCTTTAACTTACGAAGCTGTCTTCTCTCGCGTACTGTCAGCGGACCGCTACGCGCTTGTGTGTTAATACTGCCTGCAAAATACAAACCGATTTTGATATTTATGAAAAAATTCGAAAATGTCCTAAAAAAGTAACCGGTCCCGTTTTACAAGACAAGTGTGAGTAGGACTCTACAATATTGGCCTTTTTTCGATATGCATACACATCATCGTCACTACAGCCCCTCACAAGGTAGCTACTGAAGATAAGCCTGCCTTAGGGCAGGCCTATCTTCAGTAGCTAAGCTCCAAGGATTTTCACAAAAATAGTACGATTGTACAATTTTTTTTAAACTAAGTTTGTATAAAAAGGGTTATTATAATATTAAGGTATTTGTGGATGATAAAAACCCCTGGGAAGGGTGATCGCTACCAAGCTATTTCTAATTTGTTTTGTGTTGTTAATTGTAAACATAATTGTAAGCTATTATTTAAAAAATAGTCCCGCTAGGTTTCTTGCTGGTTCTTACCAGGACAGAGGTTTTTTTTTTGTGAACCAGTGATAAATGAAAAAAAGTGATTTACAGTAAGTATTGTCTATAATCTATATTGAATAAAAAAGTTTCTGTTTTTGTTTCTATGCCGTAAATTAACAAAGATAATATTAATTTCTTTACAATATATTCTAAACTATATATGGTAGAGCCACGTTGCAGTAATATAGTAGTAGCACGAAAGGTTCGGCTCGACCGGGGAAGGACCACACTCTCACAGAATACCAGCGTAAAATAGCAGCTTGATGCTGCTGTGTTTCGTATGGTGACTGTAAAGAACCGGAGACCCATTTTACTGGAATCGAAGCATTCCATCTTAGTCATCAGGGCTGACAACGCATCTGCATTTTGATTCTTAATAGAGGTTAAATGTAGATGTCTATGGGCCACAGCATCCACTTACCATGAGGTGTGTGCTTGTTTGTCACCCTAATTCTATTAAAAAAATAGGTATGTAGAAAGGTGATAACAGTTATGGTAAGTGCAAACCTACTTTCACGTAAATATTTTATTTACTGAAATTCATAAATTTTAGGTAATTTTTTTTATAAGCGATTTATGTTGGTGAACTTGTCTCCTGATTACGCCTCTACTTCTTAGATTAAGGCTCATAAGGATGAAACCAAGTTTCCAAGAAAAGTCCAATCCAAAACTTCTTTGTTTTCGTTCCCTATACTCAAGACAACACGTTACGCATCTCAAACTCTGCTTTAGGTTCGGCGTGAGCATTTTCGACGCACATATTGATTACCCCATTGACGTGCAAAAATTGTCATGCTGATTATTCAAAACAGGTTTATCTGATACCCCCACCATTTCTGCAAGTTACTTTTTTTAATTGGCATCTTCCAATACTATTTTTTATACTTTTCCACATTTTATCACTTTTAACAATGCTCTTATTAGAATAACAGAATGGAATGAAATAGTTCTTATTCAATATAGATTACAAATAATACTTATTGAAAGTCATTTATATTTCTATCCCTGATTCGGTTAAACACCTCTGTCCTAAAACAACAGCGGGACTTTTTTTCAGAAAAAAAATTTATAATATTGTATGATTATAGTAAAATGTCGGTTACTCTGGTTATATTGCGGATATCCTAAGTTTATCATGCATAAAAACCCCGAGCATAGCCCTCTCCATAGCTCAGTTAAAAAGGTTCTCGAGTGTCAGACTCGTACCGGTAGACGTAATGTAGGGCAATACTAAAAAAAATACTATAGGGCCCCACTGACTACCTGATAAGACATGCAGGAAGTCGATGGATGCAGGTGGCTCAGGACCGTGCTTTGTGCATTCCTTAGGGTAGACCTATGTTCAGCAGTGCACTTGTGAAGGGCTGCGATGATGATAATGATGAGAGTAAAATAAATAATTAAGTTTCTTGTCGATACTTACAATACTGTTCTTTTTCAGCCTTCAAAGACTTCAGGTATTGGTGTCTAGCAGACTGGAGTAGCATCCTCAAATGTCCCATTTGCCTTATATAGGCCGATTGCAGGGACTTCAACACTGTTTTGGCTTCGCTCACTGCTTCTTCTGCAGTGTATACACCTGCACGCCTGTAAAAATTAGTATGTTGAGCCCTTGAAAGATACTAACATTCACATTCAAGGCTTTTCACGAGTGTTGTTACTGTTAACGAAGAGACAAACTGGTCCCACTTACGCACCTTATGCAATGCACATTACATCTGAACACATCTGAACACCTAATTTTGTATGAAAAACTACGCATTAGAAACACACTTGTGGTGGTAAGTGGATCCTGTGGTTCAAAGACATCTATATTTATCCTCGTTTAAGAATCAAAATGCAGACATGTCACCATTGAGGACCCAGCTAAAATGGAATGCCTCCTATTTAGTTCCTATTTAGTAAAAGAGCCTGGTTCTCGAAACTTATCATACGAAACAGCAGCATTAAGCTGCTACTGCATGCTAATTTTTTTTGAGAGTGTGGTCCTCCCTGGTCGATCCGACCCATTCGTACTAAAACCACTAACAAACTTATGTGATTTATTTTTTCGTACGGAACTTTATTCGTTTTATTATTAAATGTGACTTGTTAAATATTAACAGTAAGAAAAAAGTTTGCTGTTAGCTTAACAACTTATATTAACTACATTTGAAAACGTTTTCAGCTGTTAGTCTGTTAGTTCACTTTACCATATTACTCTAAATTCAACGAAAATTCCTTCATTCTTAACACAGGGTTAGGACCGTTTGAATATAATTTGAACTAGCTGTTACCCGCGGCTTCGCCCGCATATTCACTGGGAAATGAACTATCCATTGCTTTTTGAATTGAAAGAAAACTGAGTTTTATAGATTTGTCAGAGATGCAGCCATTAAAAGGAAACTGAGCAAAATTGATTTGTCAGCTTATTTAAATGTTTGAAACGCAGCGTATAGCAAAGCATGAAAATAGCCTGTTTATTCCAAATGGAAATGGGATATTTTTTTAATTAAAGGAAAAACTGAGCATAATTATCCGTCAGGGATGCAGACTTTTGAAAAGAAACTGAGCTAAATTGATTTATCAGAGATGCAGTTTTCTGAATTGAAAGGAAATTGAGCCAAATAAAAGATCCGTCAGAGATGCAGCCTTTTGAGTTGAAAGGAAACTGAGCTTAATAGGTCCGCCTGAGGTGCAGCATTTGGAATTGAAAAGAAACTGAGCTAAATAGGAAAGAAAGGGAAGATCTGTGGGAATTCAGATTAATTGACTGTGGGAATTTTGGAAAAAAAACTAACTGAACACTATTTTAAGACGCTACTGTACACAATGTTATATGTTTTTCCATTCGGGGAAAGAATGTGGAGATTCTGGACATTTGACACACGCGAACATGCTACATACAGCTGACCATGAGAGAAGCACGGTTTTTCTAAGTTGACTCGTACTGTAACGTTTGCCCTTGCGCTTTATTAATTGGCCTTGCAAAACTGAGCTTAATAGGGAACTGCAACCTTTTGAATTGAAAAGGAAGATCTGTGGGAATTATAGGGATCCGTGGTATAATAACATTTTCACCTTTTCCTACGCCTGTCAAAATTGTAGCACCGATTATGTTCCGTCCAAGATGTGTCACACGCAGCCATGCCCCGTTACATAACCGAGGAGCATCTAAATTTCGCATTAGCATGACTGGGACGCCTAATTTTAATTGAAGCTTATGTGAGGGCATACCTGACAACTCTAGAGAATTTAGAAACTCTGCGAGATATGAAGTGCTCTGTTCTGTTTCCATAACTGTGTCTATTGACAAATACTCTGTTATTTCTCTTGCTACTTCGCTTAATATATCTGAATTTATTTTGTTAACGCTCTCATTTTCTGGTGCAAGAATCGCCCTTTCACATAACCATTTGTCAGCAGTTGTTGTGCCGAAACGCTCGCAATTAATTCGGAATGACTCTGCACTAAATTACAAAAATGTCTCGTCAATTTAACGCAGCCCTCAGCATCCGTTTCCAACCGCCCATCGCCAATTTTTAATAGTGTGTCAGCATAGTTTCCAGCATTGATATCATTATACAAATGCACTCTCATATTCGTAGTTAAACTGAATTTTGTCACCTTGTTCCATAAAATAGACGACTTGAGGCATGCTTTAATTTCATCTGCAGGTGTGCCTTTTTGAATGACAGGTAAAGTTTGGCGAAAGTCACCAGCCAGTAAAACCACCATTCCTCCCATTACATCGGTATTGCTGCGCAAATCCTGGAGCGTTCGATTTAGTGCTTCTACAGCTTTTTTTGCGATGTATTTTCATCCCACACTAAAAGTTTGCATTGTCGTAGCATTATACCTCGTGCACTATTTTTGATAAAGTTGCAGATCGGCGATTCTTCCTGGGCTAGATTTAGAGGGAGTTTTGAAACAGAATGTGCAGTGCGGCCCCCGCTTAGCAGCGTGGCGGCTATAGCGGAGGAAGCTACGGCCACAGCAATGTTTTTATCTTTCCGTACTTGCGCTAATAATAAATTTAACAAAATTGTCTTCCCAGTTCCTCCAGGGGCATCTAAAAAGAAAAGTGCACCATTTCCAGAAACAATTTGTCCTAATAATTTGTCAAAAACTCGTTTTGGGAAGCAAGCGGGGTATAAATTCGGCTACTTGCTGCTGCAAAGCTGGTATATCTTAGTTTGTTTCACGTATAATTTCATCACTTAGTTCATTTTCGGTTGTTCGCTGAGGGCTTATCATTCCAAAGTCGCTTAATTTTTTGCCTACCATTGCCATTACTTTATGTTAAATTTTTCCAAGTGCTTCATTATAAATGTGTTCATTGTATGTCATGTTCGCGTAAAATATCTTCCGCGAGGTACTCTTTATATTTGTCCCACAATTCATGTGCATTAGATAGCCCGCAAGATGATATGAGAGTTGCATAAAGATCCCTCATTTTGGCTGGTGACTGGCACTGCACAGCTTCCTCCATGGTTTCATCCCAGTGATTATCGTTTTCTAAAAGATGCAGAGCATCACATGCTTCTTGTTGACAGTTTTAAGGTCTTTATATCCTGTAGGACCCCAAACATGGTGCAGCAGCAATCGTAAACAGAAACATTCAAAATTAGTTACATGGACGGTATACATACAACCAAGGGCATCTGATGACTTTATACCGGGCCAATTTGCAACAGGCGCGCCTTGAATACGGCGTTTCCACTCCTTCCTAAATGTGTTCCAAGTATAATAGCGGGGGACTTCAGAATATAACAACGTTTTTGCAAAGGGGTCGGTTTGACAAAGTTGAAAGAAGGCTGTTAGTGTAGTTTTTGGCGGTGACGCAATTCTTTCTTGGAAATTTCTTTCGGTGAAATATACACGCTCTCCATTTTCTAAGTGCACAGCAAGGTGAGTAACTGTTGGGGTGCCTTTCGTGTAAAGGGAAGCCAAGGAGACGCCACGCTGCCTCGTTACTGCTGACATAACGCCCTGCTTGAAAGGTCTGTACTTCATTAACGGGATTTGCCTCACCTTCACTCCTGAGATTAAATATTGCTTGGTCGCTTCCTTTATTTATGTACTTACAGATATACTTGATTGCGCGGACAGAGCTACATGCTTCTACATTAATGTAGGCATTAAACATTTTACATAGAATTTACGATACAATCCAGCTGTTATCTAAGGTTTCGAACGCTCCAGAGCGAGATTTGATTGTAACTTTCCTGCCACCATCTTCGGGAGCTCTGCGTCTGTATAAAGGGTAGCCATTGTCATTGTGCACTGTTTCTTTTAATAGCTGTTTAGGGAATTTCATACATTGCGATATTGAATTTCGTGCTCCACATGGACCGTGAATCATATTTCGGACGATGGTATCATACAATTCTTTATCTTGCTCAGGATTCGGAATCTCGGCGCTTATTATGTCGTCTATTTGGCTGGGCCGCAACTTCTCTTTAAGCCATATTAGAATGTGGGCATGCGGTAATCCTCTTTTTTGCCATTCAATTGCATACATGAAGCACTGCACCTCTCCGAAAATTTTCCCTATGTTAATTACATACATTAATTTTTGTACTTTTAATCTAAATACTCTAGCAACTAAATCGTGTCTGTCAGTACTTTTTTGGCCCGGCATTAGCTCCTTGGTTATTTCTTTCCATGTGGGATTGCAAGTAAAAGTAACAAAAAGATCAGGTCTTCCGTACGTTCGTACATAGGCGAATGCGTCTTGTCTGTACTCATGTAGGTAGCGGGGACTGTTAACGAATGATGAGGGCAGAATTACCATTTTACCTAAATCTCGGGTTTACATTGGCGTCGCTAGAAACTGCATCTTGAACGCGCAGCTTTTTTTGATTTAAAGATATATAACGGAGACGTTCACTTTCGACCTTCACATACATGTCTACCAAGAATTGATGAAATAATTTTCTACACCGGGCTAAGAGGTTAAAATCATTTTCTCGCAACATCATATGATATGCATAAAAATCCATACATGATACTTTTCTGTTCGGAGTAGGCTCCTTTGTGACCGGGTTAATGGTGGAATTTGAAAATGATAACCCTCTTATCCTTTGCAATAAATCAATGGGTATTGCAGAGCGTCATAAAACTTGTGTGTAGCCGATACCCGTTGCAACGTATCATCATGTGCTCGCAAGACAATGTCTCGTGAAGAATATTGATCACCACTAATTACGGCTGCTATTTCGTTTATCAAAGGTGCATTGTAGCGCCTTTTATGCTCTCCTCGAGGGGTCCGATCTGCGTGAATGACGACTTTATAGTCCTCTTCAGGTAGGTTTTCTAAGACAGTTTTAAATGTTTTGACTAAAATGTTACGTTCATACAAGAATCTTTGAATTTTGAACACTGTCTCTCTCAACTCCCTGAATAAATCGGCAGCGACGGTCTACCTCAATTTCTTCGTCACCCATAAAATATACTTGTAAAAATTTATGCTGTTCGTTTTCAGCTGGAAAAAGTGAACCTATTCTATGATAAATTTGCCCTTGCACCGTAAATGTAGGCGAAAATCCCGGCATTATTATTTCCCGATCATAATTGAATGCTGCTTCATTAAAAACCGACTAATTGTTTCTTTGAAAATTTTGTCGACGTTCAGCTTGGAGCTGTGCGTTTGCATCTCTTCGCGCCTGTGTTCGTTCTGGTGTTTCAGATGCCCTTATAGTAGATTGAGTTCAGCTTGCTCAATGAGTCTGTGTTGAGTTTCATCAGGTGTTTCCGCGGCTCTTAAGGCGGCCTGACTTCCGCTTGTTCGAATAGCCTTTGCTTTTTTTTATAGGATAGGGTGACAATTCGAGCACACAGTCCACCTGATGGTAAGTGGTTGCTGTGGCCCATAGACATCTACATCTATCCTCGATTATGAATCAAAATGCAGATGTGTTGTCACCCGTGAGGACTAAGATGGAATGCATCGTTTCCAGTAAAATGGGTCGCCGGTTCTCTACACTCACCATACGAAATACAGCAGCATTAAGCTACTATTTCACGCTGGTATTCTGTGAGAGCGTGGTCCTTCCCCGGTCGAGCCGACCCTTATATGCAGCATGGCTCTACCACGTGAGAAAACGTGCTGACTTTGAGCAGGTGTTTCAGTAGCTCTTAAAGTAGCTTGACGCTCTGCCTGTTCAAGACGCCTTTGGACTTTGAGCAGGTGTTTCAGTAGCTCTTAAAGTAGCTTGACGCTCTGCCTGTTCAAGACGCCTTTGCTGAGTTTGAGCAGGTGTTTCAGTAGCTCTTAAAGTAGCTTGACGCTCTGCCTGTTCAAGACGCCTTTGCTGACTTTGAGCAGGTGTTTCAGTAGCTCTTAAAGTAGCTTGACGCTCTGCCTGTTCAAGACGCCTTTGCTGACTTTGAGCAGGTGTTTGAGTAGCTCTTAAAGTAGCTTGACGCTCTGCCTGTTCAAGACGCCTTTCCTGACTTTGATAAGGTGTTTCAGAAGCTCTTAAAGCAGCCTGACGCTCTGTCTGTTCAAGACGCCTTTGCTGACGTTGAAAAGGTGTCTCAGATGCTCCAAAAGCAGCCTGACGCTCTGCTTGTTCTTGCCTTCTCAGTTCAGAATCTTCTAAAGATTCTAGCGATCGAGCTAATCTTTTCGCTTGTCTTTGAGAAGATACTCTTGAAAGGCTGGACTTACGTTTGCGAGGCATTATGAAGTAACAAAAAACCTATTTATAAAAAAAACGTTAAAATACCTAAAAGGAATTAAATTTCCTTTTAAATATTTTTTTTAAAAGCAAATCCAAAATATCTAAAAGGAATAAATATTCCTTTTAAATATTTTTAAAATCAAAACAACAAAACTAATTCAAGACACAACACGAATCCGAAAACGATAGCCAAAAAAAAATCGAATCAACTTAAACCAAATCACAAAACAAATCGCAGAAAACCGAAATCGAAAGCAGTAGTCAATATAAATATAGCCAACGAAAAAAGAAGTAAGTGTATAGGTACCGTATACACTATCTATACTATTATTATTCCTTTGAAATATTGTTAAACAACCTAAAATAACGAAAACCAATTCAAGATTCTAAATAAACAAAATCCAAAATCAAAGCCAGAGTCTAAATATGTATAAAGGAATACCAACCCAATCAACAAAACCGATCCAAGAAAATACACAAATCCGAAAATGAAAGCCAATATAAATCCATTCAACCTTAACCAAATCACAAAGCAAATTACAAACAACCTAAATCGAAAGCAGGTAGTCGAATAAGCTACGAAATAGAAACAATTTAAGCGTATAGGTACCGTATGCACTATAAGTTGACGCGCGGCTCAACGGCGGGAGTTAAGTACATGTCAGGAAACATTTCGTTACCGCGTTTTAAAAACCTAGTAACGACATCTAGCGGAATCAATTTAAACTATGTATACGTTAGTTAATAAGAACTCTCAAAAAATATTTTTCTTATAATTTTGCACAATTTTTCTTATTGTAATACCGATTCATTCATAACCACATATAAGAACTGTATTAATTTCCGTTCAATAAATATAACTAAGGCTTATTAATAAGGCTTACTAAGAACTGTTTCTACCACAGTTAAGTAATAGTTAAGGGTGAAAGCGTGACAAGTGGTGATAGTATTTCTGATCCATACTTATAATCACGCCTGTAACCCTTGCGGGGTAGGCAGAGCATCAACGCATTACTTAATATCGTCTGCGAGGTTATCGCCTATACTGTGAATTACAATGCACCAAAACGTTTGAAGAAAGTCAGCTGGTGAATTTTATGTTTTTTATCGCTCTCTTCCTGGTCCTGCGTGGAAAAATACAGATCCATAAATTTTTTATCTTAATTTTGGTAAAAAGACATAATAATCCAGATATTCTGACTTTCCGTGTTCGTCCATCGTACCGTCGTCCGTCTTGTAGAATCACGGTGGCGCCACCTAGCCGAATTTAATTTTGCAACATATTCGATTTTCCCACGGGAACGAGATGTTTTTCCGCGAAAAAAAGTAGCCTATGTCACTCTACAGTCACCGAACTATCCCCATACCAAAATCCATGCTATGCCGACGCTCTGTTGCGACGTGAAAGAAGGACAAACTTGTGCAACATATTCGATTTTCCCACGGGAATGAGATGTTTTTCCGCGGAAAAAGTAGCCTATGTCACTCTACAGCCACCGAACTATCCCCATACCATAATTTGTGCCATGCCGACGCTCTGTTTCGACGTGAAAGAAGGACAAACTTTTGCCACATATTCTATTTTCCCACGGGAATGAGGCTGTAGAGTGACATAGGCTACTTATTTCCGCGGAAAAACATCTTTAAATTTAATTTGTGACATTGATCACATTGACTGTTATCTTATATGCTTATCGTTAAAACGCCCATCTTTACCTGCAGCATGGCTCTACCACATATAAAGCTTAACAATTTAGGCAAATTCCTCTCATTGGTAACGACATGTCCAGCACTAAAATGTCTATGGTCTAATAAGGTGTGCATGAGTAAATTGGACCATTACCAGAGCGGTTGTAATTCGCATGGCGCCTCCTCTGCATCAGACAAATGGTCCTCGTGAACAGCCCGACAGTTGCCTTCGGGACCCAGGGTGACACTGTCGCAGTCGCTGTCACTGGCACTCGCACACTCCATTATGGAGGACGAATATGCCGCGTTCACTGCCGTGGCATCGATCTGCTCTGTGTAAAGATAACTTAAATTTAAAAAATTAAAAAATAAATAGAAAAAATAAAAACAGATGATCTTCAAACGGCTAAAAAGATTTTCTTTAATCATAGTTAAGAACACTCTCAATCAAATCATCTTTGAAACAAAAATAAACATAAATCAAAATCGGTTAATCCCTTTGAGTTTTGAAGCTACAGAATTACATTATGCTGCTGGGCATAGTCTTTTTCAATTTTAGGAAGTGTTTCTGGTGTTCGCTATACATAGCAGGCAGATTTGCATTTGCAGCACACCAGTCTATTTTTTATGTGGTATCTAGCATAATATAAAAATGACCATGTTTTGGATACTCTTGTGTATAATTCGTTAATGTATTTAGACGTGAGACAAACTGGTCCCACGTATGCAACGTATGCAGCGCATTGTGACGTCTGGACTCTTGGATTTGTAAGAAAAACTACGTAATGGAAACACACTTGGATTCAAAGCAATCACACGCTTCCGACGCTACATCGACCTGCGATATCCAGATCGGCGTAGGAAGGTGCAGGGGATGTTCGTACGCAATTCCACATTTACATTCTACATTCCGCATTTACAGCCCTTCACAAGTCCACTGCTGAACTTAGCCCCCCCCCCCCCAAGGTATGTCATAAAGCATGGTCCTGAGCCACCTGCATCCATCGACTTCCTGCGTGTCTTACCAGGTCGTCACTCAAGCTTAAGACTATAGTAAAATTATTTTGTCCGTGCAGTTGGGGTCATAAATCATAGCTCGGTCTCAGTCCGGCTAGGTTGGTGAGCATGTTGCGCGGGCGCAACGCCATTATCGATAACAACAAATGAATCATCGAAGGCAGATACACGGCGACGGTGCGGTATACAAAGGATGGTGCGACATTGTTACGTTATGAATCATTTGTTTTCCATTATTAACCCCGCCTAATACCTGCAAATTAGTGCAATGTTAATTTAGTACATACATCGAAAAGAAATTTGTTTTTGCGCATTCGTTCTCTGAATTTCTTTAGTGACACAATATGGCTACTCCTTTGTTTTGTACCAAAACTGCAGAATTTATTCAAAATGATATTTTGCCTGTTGGCACCAATATACCATAAGGACGTGTTGTTATCAACAATGTTTTAAAATTTTTCACTGAAATGAAAATAGATCCCGAAAAGATACAAACATTTCGGGTGAACTTGCTGCGGCGATATGTGGTGTGAGTGTTAGAGCGACAAAATTAAAAAAGAGTGTATAAAGGGAGAAGTTAGCTCTCCGCGAGAAAGCGGCTATCGGCCTTGTACAGTAACTGCGTTAGACGACATTGATAAAAGTGTAATTAAAAAAGTGTCATCGTTTATTCGCGACGGAGAATATCCTTCCACGGCTAAAATATTGAGTACAGCAAAAGAAAGAATTGACGGATTCCAGCGTTCTACTTCTATGCGTAAAATACTCATAGAACTTGGGTTCAAGTACACACAAGCTCCAGATGGTCGTAAACAATTGATGGAAAGGGCTGACATCGTTTGTGCGCGGCTACAATTCCTGAGAAAACTCAAGACCCTAAAGACTGATTTACACTTCGACAAGTACAGTAGCGAGTTTAGTTACAGGGCAGTTGACAGTAAACGGCTAAGTGGACAGTAGCGTTCAAACAATGTCTTCGTGGCGAGTTTAGTTAAGGACATTAGTTCATAGAGTTCATTGGAGTATGACATTTCAAGACTACAGAATTTTTCCGGTTTTCGTTTAAGATGGTTCTAGGATTACGTCAAGAATTAAATGATCCAGTCAGAGAAGTATTAATAGTTGTTGTTAAAGAAGTTTTTAAGAATTTTCATGAGTGCAGCATCTCGAGCAGATTTAATTTTACAATTTGAACTTCTACTATTATATAAACATTCGTGTTCTAAATACTCCTGTACGAATTTATACGTGATATCTTCCGTCCATTTTATTAATAAAACTCAATATAAAACGTATAAATATTCAATAAACAGTATCGTATACACTTTGTGGCGAGTTTAATTATAAAAGTACAATTGTACGTTTTGGCGCGCAAACGTTTAGTCCTGTCAACTTATGCACTGAACTATACTCGCGAACGCTCTTTTACACGAACGGCGAGTTTAGTTGCGGGTGGCGGGAGACGCGCGGGAGGGCAGCACTTCGCACTTAACTCGCCGAAAAATAGCTCGCCCGGCTATCCCGTTCAACTTAATCGTTAACTTGCTACTTAACTCGCTTATTGCCGTTCAAACGAGGTTCATACTTAACTCGCCAGGTTCGCAAGTTAACTCGTTACTGTACTTGTCGAAGTGTAAATCGGTCTTAAAAGATAGTGAAGACACTCGACCAAGAATTTATTTAGATGAGACTTGGGTGAACCAAAATCACAGCCGCAAACGAATTTGGCTAGACAAAGATGGACAAGGCGGCTTAAATACAAAAACTGGAAAGGGGGACAGACTAATTGGTAAATATTCTTTCATCTTTTATGTAAGAAATACGACTTAATAATAATTTAATACAAAATATGATATTCATTTAATTATGTTGTTTCAGTTTGTCATACAGAATACATACGGAACTATTACTAAAGGTATTTCAGATTTTATTATTTAAAGTTTGCAATACATTTGTTTTCTTTTAAGTATTTAGTTGAATATACAAACAACATTATATTTACAAGTGCAACAGAAGCAGCTTTGGAGTTGGGACATGAAGTGATTCGCTTACCACCTTACCATTGCCAATATAATCCAATTAAATTGGTATGGGCTCAAGCAAAAAATGAAGTTGCCACCAAAAACAGCACTTTTAAAATTCGTTTATTCTCAATTAAAATCAAAATACAATACACTTTTACCCCTAAAGACTAAGGTGGAATGTCATGTTTGCTATAAAAAAGGTCTAACAACACAGCAGCGAGTCTGAGAGCAGGGTACTACCCCGGTGGAGCTGACCCATTCGTGCCGCAGCATGACTTTAACACATAAAACATTTTAGTGTTCTCAGCAGGAATCAGTGGCGAAGCCTCCATAGAAGCCAAAAAGCCAGGCTTGCCCTTTCAAACTGCTCAATCAATAATATCAACTAATAAAATAACTCGTAAACTATTTCAAATTTCCCGCGCGCTCCTCTGTTCTACACAGGTCATGACCTTGTAGCCTTATAATGTAACGAAAACACTTGGCAGTTTGATTTCAATTAGAAATACACTGATTCGTGTTGTCTGTCTCAAAGCGTACACGCAATGGACTATCAAAATTAATGAAAGCAAGGAGTTGATTTGAGCGAAAAGACGTCTCTCTCGCACGCGTGGGCTTTTGACCGGGCTTTCGAGAAGACGATCGCTCCCGTTCTACCCTGTGGCAAAATGTTCTATAGTAAAATATAACTACGAAATGTTTATATAGCAATTACTATGAAACCAAATGCCGGGCTTTGCAACGAAGTTGTTTCCGAGTGCGAGGCCGAGCGGGTGATACGTTTGCATATTCACTTCACATTACAATGTTTACCTACTTTGTTTGTTTTTGTTGTATCTGTTGAAAATTTATGCTTTTTCAAAGATTTTTAGTGAAAATACAGGATAACAGTGTTCCTTGTGATAAATTACATAACATAAACACTCACGCCTGTCACCCAGAAGGGTAGGCAGAGACTACAGACTTCCATTTGGCACGATCCTGACACACCTCTCTCGCCTCCTTCACATCCATACACCTACGCATACATGCTCGTCGGTTAAGGGTACTCCTAATTTGGCCCGTTTTCAATAAATCGCCAATTTGGTCGATAAATTTTCGCCTAGGACGTCCCTTTCCGACCCTGCCATTCACTTCTGCACCATAAATTTTCTTTGTCACTCATTCCTCATTCATTCTTTCCACATGACCAAACCACCGAAGCATTCCTTTCTTAATCCTGGTCACAACATCATCTTGCAAACCACACTCTTCTCTTATTACACAATTTCTTACCCTGTCATTCAGATTCAGCCCTAACATACTCCTTAACGACCGCATTTCTACTGCGTTAATTCTACTCTCGTGCTTCTTCTGCCACACCCAACTTTATCTATCATACGTTAAAGTAGGGACCAACACAGCATTGTGAATTGCCATACGTGCCTTTTTCGACACATTTTGACTTATCACAATAGAGTGTAGGACCCCATTTATTCTATTCTCCGCATTCACTCGTCGTTCTATATCCTTATGACATCTCCCATCCCTGCTAAATATGCAACCCAGATATACAAATTCATCTATTTGCTCGATCAACTCCCCTTCTATTCTTATTTCACTACTTTCTTCTCTTTAAAAAACCATAACTTTCGTCTTACTTGCGTTCACTTTCATACCCCTTTATTTTAATGATCTGTTCATTAATGTAACCATCATTTGCAGCTCGGCCGCCGACGACGCAAGAATAACTTGATCATCGGCGTACAAAAGGCATTTGACGGTTAACTCACCCATTCTTAATCCGCATTCTTCAACTTTCAAATTTTGCTAACAACTGTCCATAAATAGGTTGAACAGCCACGGGAAAGCCACACAGCCCTGTTCGACAGCTTTATGGATGCCAAACCAGTCAGAGTAAACCCGGTTGATCCTAACACAAGCACTAGAGTCCCTATAAAGCGACTCCAATGCTTGTATCAAGCCAGCGTTCAACCCAAATTAATTCAGTTTATAGCACATCCCTATCCACTCTGTCATAGGCCTTCTCCAAGTCCATGAACGCACAAAAAACCTTTTGGTTTTTAGCCAAAAACTTTTCCGCGATCATGCGCATGGAAAAGACTTGATCTGTACATCCCATTCCCTTTCTAAATCCCGCTTGCACATCTTTAAACTTTGTTGAGAAAATACACAAGCTCAAGAGCGTCTTTCGGACTTATCAATTACCGCAATTGAAAAACAGTTATTGGTACAATTAAAACGTTCACCAACATTTTACGCGGACATAATCAAATCTTTCCTTAAGAGACTATATATTTAGAATATAAATAATGTTTTTTTTTTAATTTTGTACATTGTTTTTACTTTGTTCATATATAGTATTGTATGTAAATATCTTCTTTTTTTCGCTCAAGCAAATCCAAACGACTTTTTCAAAGCCACCGAAGGTATGCAATTACTGATATTTCATACAATCTATCTAGCAGTAGTATGCCTTCTGTGTGCTTTATTAAAAACGTCCTCGACAGAACTGAATATGAAACTGAAGAGTGGAGACAGATCAAGATTGGTGTATTTTTATAAAACTGCTAAAAACCACAAAACCATATCTTGGGCTTGCCCTAGTTTGGAGCCCTAGCTTCGCCACTGGTAGGAATCGAACTTTGGCTGTACGCGTACCATTCAACATCATTATCACCATCAGCTTGGCAGTTTGTACAAAGCAAAGACCTACCAAGGCGCACAATTTAGGCTGGCCTTCGCCTTCATGCATCCAGTTGTCACCCAGTCACCTTGCGCATATCATTATATATATGTATATTATATCATTACATTTTCCAAGTGTGGTTTAACTCAGACAGTTTTTTTTTTAATATAATGAGGGATATATTATAAGTGTGACAGTCCGTGTATAATAAGTGTAAGTGATATAATAAATTGCCTAATACTTAAAACTATAATATATTATATAAAGTCGTAAGTATTAGGTAATTTATATATATTATATATATACATGTAAAATGTAAATTTTCAACTCACTGAAAGGGTCGACAGCGTGGGGCGTGACTTGCTCCTGCTCCATAGGATCACTAACAACAGAGATGGAAGATGCACACGAAGTTGTTCGCGTTCGTTCTGGACTGTTGGTAAAGAATATATAGTCAATTATTATCTATAACTACTACAAGCAGTCATTTATAACAACCTGCAAAATATTTACCCTTTCAGAAATGAAGAGACTTGTACTTGGACTCTGGCATAGAATTTAATTTTACGCCAAAGTGCAGTAAATCCGATAACGCTTCTTTTCACTTACGCTGGTTACCTTTCAATTCTTAAATATTTTTCCTATCTTTTATTTTTAAGGAAATTTATTTCGATTCTGACCAAAAAAAGTAAAATATCCAAAATAAATTTCAACCCCATATAGTTTTATCCCTTAAGCCCGTAAAAAGTTTTTTTTAATTTTTAGGGGTGACAAACAAGCACACAGTCTACCTGATGGTAAGTGGATGCAATGGCCTACAGACATCTACATTTAACCTCGATTAAGAATAAAAACGCAGACCCGTTGTTACCCCTGAGGACTAAGATGGAATGCCCGGTTTCCAGTAAAAAAAGGGTTTCCAGATCTTTACACTTACCATACGAAACACAGCAGTATTAAGCTGTTTTGTGAGTGTGGTCCTTCCCCGGTCGAGCCGACCCATTGGTGCTACAACCATAATATAGTTGCAGCGTGTCTACCACGTATATATATTGATTCACGTATAGATTGCATCACAGCCTGTCAACTGACTCTCTATACCCTTCAGACCGGAACGCAGTAGTTCAAGCATTGCTAATATTTGGCCGTAGAAATAGGTAAGAGGGTGGTGGTACCTAACCAGATGGACTTCTAGGCAGAAGGTCTGCCACCTTAAGAGCGTAGATGGGCTGCATTTTCTTCATACAGATGTATTTCCCTATTCTCTTCCTTGATAATGCCTCTAGAGTAATCGTTTTTAATTGTAAGAGTCTAGGTCTATTGAAGGCATGCCCCTGTCATTTATTTTCTTTCAAAAACTTATTACAAAAATAAATAAGACTTTCCAAGAACCTAAAAAGTGCCCCGTTTAAAGACAACCTAAATGAGACAACTACCAAAGAAATGTGAAAAGTTTTTAGATAAAAAAAAGTGATAGGCGCATAGATCTATTCTTCTTTTAAATTTTGATACCAAAAATAATTTAATCGGCTTAGTATTCAACGAGAAAACAGGGGAATACGAAACGTCGATCAGTCATGGGTTTTGTAGGTAAAATCGTTCTGAGCTGCAGTTGTCCTTATCGCACTCTACGGGGGAGACCAGAGATGAGAGAGGGTTAGACTAACACATACATACACAATTAATGTCCTCCAGACCGAATTTCGGTCACGGCGATCAGCCTCAACGGAGACTAGCCATCGGCGCAGGACAGGATTATAGTGCCCAAGTGTATGCGCAAGCACAGGTGCACTCTCTATTCCTTCACTGTCATAATCCGATGGGACGGTAAACCGACACGGCCGGAGAGAGATCAGGCGCAGGACCAACGGCTTTACGTGCCTTCCGAAGCACGGGGGTGATATACCGCCAACTTCCTGACTCCGGGCAGCTATTGAGAATTTTTTGACGGAAAAACTCAATAATTATTTTTTTTGCCCGACCCGGGATTCGAACCCAGGACCTCATGATCAGTAGTCGCGCCACTACAACCACTAGACCAACGAGGCAATCAAAAACATACACAATTAGGGAAGTGACAACTGTCGAAGTTAATACTGAGCTACACACACAAATACAGACTATTCACTCACACATTTATACCGCGGTTGCTCGTGCGCAGCGCGACGCCAATAATTTCTTCAAATACCTATTTCTCAATTTCCGCGCAGACCGACTAAGCTCTTATTACATTCAGCACTAATAACAGCTCATAAAAATGTCGGTTTAAATGATTATAGAGAAAGAATGGCATAAAAAAACTCTGGAATCAACTTCCAATTCATGCCATCCTTTTTTTTATCTATTACCTATAACTTACCGAACATAGTGCTGAAGTTGGTTCAGCAACGTTTCAGTAGTGGTCACGGGCGGTGGCGGTGCAGCGCTACGTTGCCGTGCGTATAGAGCGGCTCGTGCGTGTTCAAAACATAACCTATAATATTGAAAATGCCTTTTTGTAAGATAACTGAAAACTCGCTTTATTCAGTTTTTAACAACAGATGATAAAGGATTTAGATAAGGTCATAATTTGTTATAAAAATATATTGAAAGTTAGTTTGAACAAAAGTCGCCATTAAAGTCCATTATGACTTTTTTAAAAGTGATAATTCCCTTGGATAAATATAAAAATTACACACAGCTATCATTTTAAATAGAGATGGGCCGAATATTCGTATACGTGCAATAACATGTCAGGGGTGGCGGAGAAGCGAGGGGCAGGGTCCAGAGCTAATAACAATAATAAATTCTTTATTTCAGATAATTAAAATCCATATGTGGGTTAGTAACACAATAATAACAATTATAATAATGTTGCGCGCCTAAGTTTTTTTTTTTTATAGAAGAGGGGGCAAACGAGCATGTGGCTCATCTGATGTTAAGTGACTACCGCCGCCCATGATCAACCGCAACACCAGGGGAATTGCAGGTGCGTTGCCGGCCCTTTAGAAAGGAGTAAGCTCTTTTCTTGAAGGTCCCCAGGTCGTATCGGTCCGGAAAAATCACCGGTGGTAAATTATTCCACAGAGAGGTTGTACGCGGAAGAAAACTCCTTTTGAAACGTACAGTGGTGGACCGCCAAGCATCCAGATGGTGTGGATGGTATCGGGACGTTTGCCGTGTAGTGCGTTCACGAAATTTGGTGGCTGGGATTAATCCGAACAATTCCTCAGAGCACTCCCCGTGATAGATGTGATAAAATACGCAAAGAGATGCAACATCTCTTCGCAGCGCCAGTAAATCGACCCGATCGGAAAGCACTCGGTCGTCGACGATTCGAGCCGCTCTGCGCTGGATGCGGTCAAGTGGAAGGAGCTGGTGCTGGGGAGCCCCAGCCCAGAGATGGGAACAGTATTCCATGAGCGGCCGAACCTGCGCCTTGTAAAGTTGCAGGCGGTGTGCCGGCATGAAATACTGTCCCGCTCTGCTGAGCACGCCAAGCTTTTTAGAGGCCAATTTGGCCTTCCCTTGCAAGTGACCACGAAACTGCACGTCACTCGATATGTCGACGCCGAGGATTCCGATACTGGCTGAGGCAACAAGGGGAGTGCCTTGAAACTGAGGGGATACGACAAAGGGGTTCTTTTTTAGCGGTTAACGCGCACTTGTGTCTTCTGGGGGTTAAACTGGACTAGATTTAGTCGCCCCCCAATCCGAGACTCTGTCCAGCAGAGACTCGACTTCAGACACAAGTTTGTCCCGGCACTCAGAGACGTTTTCCCGAGAAATATTGGCTCGGCCGGTGTAAAGAGCATCACCAGTGCTGTCATCTGCATAGCAATGAATGCTACGGGTTTGCAACATATCATTGATATGCAGAAGAAACAGCGTTGGCGATAGCACGCAGCCCTGTGGAACACCAGCATTAATAAGCTTGCAATCGGAGCTTGCACCGTCTACAACGACCTTGATGCTCCGATCTGCAAGAAAACTGGTGATCCAATCGCACAATTTCTCGGGAAGCCCATAGGAAGGGAGCTTCGAAAGAAGCGCTTTGTGCCAAACCCGATCGAAGGCCTTCGCAATGTCCAAACTAACGGCCAATGCCTCCCCCTTGGACTCTACTGCCTCCGCCCATCTGTGAGTTAGGTAGACCAGAAGATCACCAGCTGACCTACCACGGCGAAAACCGTATTGGCGGTCACTAATCAGCTGGTGATCCTCAAGGTACCTCATGAGCCGGCAGTTTACAATGGACTCCATTGTTTTGGAGAACAAGGAGGTGATGGCGATAGGCCGGTAGTTGGACGGGTCTGAGCGGTCGCCTTTTTTAGGGATCGGGTGGACGAAAGCCGTCTTCCATGATTTTGGGACTACGCCTAGGGAGTAGGAGTACCGGAAAAGACGCGTTAAAACCGGTGCCAACTCTGGAGCACACGTCCTCAGCACAATTGGGGGGATTCCGTCAGGCCCACTCGCCTTATGGATGTCCAGGTAGAGGAGTGCTTTGCGAACCGAGCGCTGAGTGAACTGCACTTCCGGCATGGAGCACTCACACCGCGGGATGGTCGGCGGCGTACTCCCCCCGTCATCGAGAGTCGAGTTAGACGCAAAGAAAGAGCCTAGAAGATCGGCTTTCTCCTTTGCGGTGTGGGCCAGTAAGTCGTCCTCCCTGTGCAGAGATGGAAGAGATGGCTGACAGAAATTCCCCTGGACAGCCTTGGCGAGAGACCAGAATGCACGGGTTCCAGAAGGAAGACGAACTAGTCTCTCGCCAATTCTGCCTATGTGCTCTGACTTTGCCTTGGCAATGACTCTTTTGAAGGACCTAGAGGCGGAATTATACTTCTTTTTTAGAGCGCTGGTGTTTACATCCCTGGACGCTGATGCGTCAGCCCAGGCTCGGTAGCACTCCTGCTTATAGCATGATGCTATTTTACAGGAGCGACCAAACCATGGCTGAGATTTGCCTCCAATGGGCACCACAGAGGAAGGAATAAAAAGTTCCATACCCTGAAGTACCGCATCAGCGACAGAATCCGCAACAACGTTGGGATCGTCTGGCGAGAAGCAAACCCGCCCCCCAAGGGTAGGATGCAAAGAAAGACCGCATCCCATCCCAATCGGCTGACCTATAGTGCCAAACACGGCGGCAGCCTGCAGAATGCAACCGCGATTTCAGCGTGAGTGGCACCACACTCCGGACAAGACAATGGTCCGAGGAGCCTAAAGGGGCGTCGACGGAAATCTGATATCCGTCCGGGTGAGAGGTCAGCAGAAGGTCCAACAGGGAAGGTGCATGATCCTCCACATCTGGAATCCGCGTAGGCGAAGTAACCAGTTGTGTCAGACCATATGCCAAGGCAAAATCATGAACAGATCTCCCCGCATGATCGGTTAAACGTGAACCGAGCCATTCGGCGTGATGGGCGTTAAAGTCGCCGAGGATCACGATCTCTGCGGAGGGGATCTGCTGTAGCAACGAATCTGCAGCCATTTGGACGTGGTCGAAGAGTCGGTCTGTTTCGGCATCACCGCTATGGGACCTATAGAGGCACCCGTAGACGCGCGGATGGTCGTCGCTGTCTACGCGTAGCCAAAGGATGGACAGGTCCGAACCTTCAAGTCTGACTAGGCGTCGAGAACAGATGTCCTCTCTGATGTAAACGCAAACTCCAGCTCGAGGCACAGGAGTGTTCCAGTTTGTACCCCGGGCAGGAGAGATACGAGACATCAGCCGGAGAGGACACCTGCGTCTCGGTCAGAAAGAGCAGAGCCGGCCTCGCCGTCTCGAGATGGTAGTGGACGGCGTTTAGGTTAGAGTGAAGTCCCCTGATATTGCAGAAATTCACGGACAGCGTGGCAGGGGTCGCCTTGGTCTTGTTGCTCCGTTTGCCCCTAGCAGTTTTAGTCTTGAGCGGAATTTTGCCCCCCCCCCCCCAGAATACGCGGGGCAGCCTGAGCACCCACGCTCAGAAGTGGAGAAACATGGTCGTGAATGCTCAGCGAGGGATTCTCTAGAGGTGCTGGTACCCTCCTGGGGTAGTCTATCATTTAATTCCGCTACCATGTTGATGGGGGGGGGGGGGGGGATTTGGGCCTCCGGCCACCTGCACTCACCAGACGAAACGCGGAAGCAGAGCTTCCACTTCACGCCGGTATTCTGTGAGGTCGTGGTACCACCCCGGTTTGAGCCGGCCCATACGTGCGACAGCAAAGCTGCCGCGTGGCTCTACCACAGTTAAACCGGACGTGCATACCGGAACTAGCGCCATCTAGTGTCGGGGACGAGAGCGAGGGGAGCTTTCCACAAAATGACTTCACTAATCTTTCAACCGACATCGCCATCTAGTATCGAAACGAAGAACTAAGCTTCTAGAAGCCCGACACTCGGAACTTTCGACGCCTAGTCAATTGGCGCGCGTATTTACTTGAATATTCTGGATGTTTCGTTGATAATGTGTATTTAAAGGCGCTGCAAGATGCGATCGGGGAAGTATTGAATATGGCGAGACAAGCGAAGCTCGGAGCGGAATAAAGTGAATTAGTGTGATTAATTATTAGTGTTTTAAATTTTAATTAGTGTAAAGTGAATTAAAGTGTTAATTTCGGTAATTCAATCGGCAGTTTTTACTGTCACGAACCTCAAGCTCGTAACAATAACAAGGGTTAGTAAAAAAACAACAATGGTTTGCTTAAAATCTAGGGAAATAAAATAAATACACTGTGCCGAGACAGATCATCAGGGGGGTGGATAGGGCCCAGTTATCAGTCTCTGCACAAGACATTTCCACAGCGGCGATGTATATCTGTCCGCTACGGTCCTCAGAATGCTGTTGTGACTGGCTCGTACCCTGCTAATAAGGGATGCGGCTTTTTTGCGTATGATGGCATTAAAACCGTCTGTTTGGTATGCCGCAAACATCCCTGATGCACTACAAAAACGAGGCAGTCCCAACAGCATCCTGAATATATTATTATATTGGATGTGCAGGGCGTCAAGCGATCTTTTGGTGTATTTGACCCACAGGCTCCCCGTGTACACGCTCTGGCAGTATGCTTTAGAAAGGTAATCTTAACTTGTACAACGGGAAAACCTGCGAGCCAACATATTACCACTAACTGCCAGAGCTCTGCGCTCCCTTTCGATGTTAGCATCATCCTTGAGGTTACCAGTAATAATATGCCCCAGATATTTAAATTTAGTGACTCGTTTCACGTTCATGCCATTAAGGGTAACATTAACTGCAATATTGTGACATTTACCAGCGACCTCAAAAACCATGTACTCTGTTTTATTTACACTGTATGTGAGCCCATGCTCAGTAGCATACATCTCACATACCTTTAATATTTCACTTAGGCCTCCCACCGTTGGGCTGAGCAGCACCATATAGTCAGCGTAACTTATATTATAATAATCTAATCAGCGTAATTTATATTATAATAAGCTAATCCCGCGCGATTTATGTTAACAAGTTTCGACATAAATTGGTTAGGTACCGAGGTGACCTTGCCTAATAATGTTTGGCCGAATATTCGGTACGGTAAAAGTTCTACCTAACTTTTGGCCGAATATTCGTATTCGGTGAAATCCATATTCGGCCAATCTCTAATTTTAAACACACATTCTCAATAAATAATTTGAATACCTTATTTGTATAAATACTTACCCAGCATCTCTAGACTGAGATCCAGTTGCTGCAGGAGCTGGTTTATTGCAGCGTTGTCCACCAGCATAAGTGTGCAAGCACTGTTTGTATGGAGCACCCACTTCGTGAAGAATGTGACGTGCGCAGTGTTGTCGCCCGTTTAACACTGGTAGGTGACACGCGTAGCCACGGTAGGCGCAAGATCGGGAACGTGACATTATCTCCTTTTGTAACTGGAAAAGTGAGGTCAAATCTAAATATTTTAAAAGTAAATGCCATCCTTCAAACCGAGCTCAGAATGTAATCCAAACATAGTACAATAAATATTTTATAAACAATATTTACCATGCTTATTTTTTTTTTGGTTACATCAGCAGCTTAAATAGTTAATCACACAAAATTCCATAACATACATATAAACACATTTGAAATAAAGGGACTGTGGATTAACATAAATATTACATTCTGCAAGAATATTCCCTGAGAAAGTGTTTCTACAAAATTTTACTATTATGACACAGGTGCTGTTTACGCCAAGTCGTTACAAGCTGCAGCTTGCGGGACGCTAGTCCCGGACGAGGGGCCGGTCTGCGCGGGGGGGGGGGGGTGTTCCACCTTGCGCCTACGCAGCGTTGCGATTGATACGGCAATTGCCGTAATATACGGCGTTCCACGTTTTTTTTTAAAGATTATACGGCATACAGCAGGCTTTTCATTGCCGTATAAAGTATTACAGCAATTCAGCTTTGCGATAAACCACGATGTCAAATTATGAACAAAAAAACATAAACACCTGTATCGGTATCCATATTTTTTTCACTTTCGTCATCCCTTAAGTGATAATAAAGAGTGTGGTTGTCTATGACGGGAAATTACCGTTTCATCTTTTATTTTATGAGACTAACAAAGATGGCACGAACATGACACATGGTTGACATTGATAGAAGTAATGAATGAAAGAGATACACATATTTACTTTGTTTATATTATTGAATGAATGTCCAACATTATGAACTCTAAGATATGTACTGTACTTTTGTAGTATTTACTCTGGCAGTAAATTAAACTTGAATCAAAGTTGGCTTTGTTGGAATAGCTGCACTTTCAACAAAAAGCTTAAATTCTTACTTCAAAACACGGGAAAAGGACAAAGACTTCATATGTAGTTGTTTTCCGTCGTTGTCGCCACTGACCCAGCAATTGCCACGAATTGTGAGAGAATCGGATAAGCAATGAATTGATGACGAGTGGAGGTTGCTACCAAATGTAAACAAATTTTCAGAATTAGAAATAAAAACATGAGTTTTGGGCAAATGTCCAAGATACTACAGACTGCAAAATATTAGCAAATTTTGCTTCAGACGTATTATGTCTATCTACAACATAGCAATGCAGATTGCGAAAAAGTTTTCAGTGAAGTAAACAATATGAAAACAAAATCCAGAAATAAATTGATAACATCCACTGTCAACGGAGTTCTATTAGCAAGACAAGCGGTTAAAAATCAAGGAAGTTGTACGAAATTTCAAGCGACAAATGATATATGTAAGAAAATAAAAAGCAAAGAAAAATATTCATTGCATAGAGTGATGTTTTCAATCAATCAGAAAGAAGACATTTCAGATTTTATGTGATTTTTTAATTATTCGTAGAAATAAATACTTTACGGCAATTTTGTGTATTTTTTCATAAAAACGGCAATTTTCGTTTTTAGATACGACAACTCAATTTTTTTACAGTCGCAACGCTGCGCCTACGACCGCGCCGGTAGTCTAGAAGAATCTTCGTGCGCTACGACCGTGCCGATTAGACGTCGGGCGTTACATAAGCACTGCTATGACGGCCACCATTGCGTTGTTTTATTTCGTTAATATACGTGACAACTAGGCTTTTTTTGAGTTTTGTTTGACTATTTTAACTTCGATTGCTATTAATTTGCGTCGACGAGTGGCTTGTGTAGTTAATATCGTACGAAGGAATTTTGCTTTGTCCTGTGGAACGCTAAACTTTGTGACCCGGAGGAGATCGCGCTCTCTCCGATTATATTTGTGCTAAGTGATGTTGGACTTGAGTTCCGATAGCGGCTAATGCCCTCTGGAGTGATTTCACTTTGTGGAGCTGGGCAGCGCATGTGTCTTGCTATCTGATTATATCGGTGACGTCAGGTTACATTACACACTTCTCACAAACCGCTCACACATATCATTTACTTGCCCCTGATGGCGCCTTGTGGCCGACCCTACACGTGTAATTCGGTAAGTTTGTGTTTGTTTATAGCAGTCGTTATAAATTAATTATCCATAGGCCATTGGGCCCTCCCCTCGGTTGCTAGTCGAGTTGGATTACTGATGGGTCCATTGCTGGTAGCAGAGCGTGGTTGATTGTTTCGACAATCACGCCCGGCCGTAATATAATAATTTTTTTTGTTTGTTAGCGGATCGGTGGTTCGAACCACGCCATTAGGCTGCGCAAACGTAAGTGTTGTTTAGAGTTAGGTACCTACGCGTCAGGTATTTATAAATTAATTATCCATAGGCCATTGGGCCCTTCCCTCGGTTGCTCGTCGAGTTGGAATACTGATGGCCCCTAATCCTGTCGATTTTGTCGGGGTAACTGAGGGCCATAACAGGTGCCAAGCACATTTTATTATCTCCTATTTTAAATAGTGTGATATACACATTTTAAACTAACAATCCATTCTGCCTTCATGGTTTCCCATGATTTCATATTAAAGATAACATGATTTTTTTTAAATAAATATTCAATGTAAAGTCAATTAAGAATAGCATGAAATCAATTGCTTCATGTAAAAGGCTCATACATGCTCACTGCCAGATTTGGATTTGATTTAGGGAGGCTTTTGTTTTGAAATGGACTTTTGTGTTATAAATTTAAGTCTTGTAACTATATTACTCTAAAAAAATTGCATTCATAAATTTGTTAATCTACACCAGGGATTTCCAAATGGATCTATATCGACCCCTTGGAGTCAACAACAAACCCAAACGGTTTCCCAGGGGTAGACATAAAGAAACTGATTTTGGGGTGCCACAAGGTCTAAAAAAGTTCTTATTTGAAACTTTCAAGATACTGTATAAGTTGTATTACATGTACCAACTTTTTGTAAGAATGACTAATATTTTAAGTTTACTCACTTAACCAACCACAAAGTTTTTAAATTGGTAATTATTTTGTATCGATAAGTTTAGATCACTTTTCAAAATAATTAAAGCAAAGTAAATATTCAAATTCACAAACCTGTGCCCTTAGTTTGTCTTCTTCCTGCTTTTTTACTACTTCAGGGTCTGGTGGTTTAATAGACTTGACATTTGTTATCCTAATGGCAGATGAGGAACCTCTGCCACGGTTGAGCATTCTGACTTTGGACAGATGTATCACTTTACGAGGTGGCTGGGAAGTCATATCTGAGATTGAAGTTGAATCAACTGAAAATAATTAAATACATCAATTTAGTAATATAATATTTTTTTATAGAATAAAGGTGACAAATGAGCACACAGTTCACCTGATGGCAAGTGGATGCTGTGGCCTATAGATATGTTCATTTATGCTCAATTAAGAATCAAAATGCATTGTTACCCCTGAAGACTAAGATGGAATGCCTCATTTCTAGTAAAAGAGGTGTTCTATTCTCTACACTCACCACACAAAACACAGCAGCCTTAAGCTACTATTTTCCACTGGTATTCTGAAAGAGTGTGGTGCTACCCTAGTTAAGCAGACCCATTTGTGGTTCAACTAATATAGCTGCAGTGTGGCTCTACCACATATAATCATACAATGTTTTATTTATTATAACTAGCACTTTTATTAATAGTAAAGTCCAATTTAAAAATAACTACACAAAAACACAAACCTGAGTACCTATTGAAGATTATTTAATAAAGATGTGTAATTAAATATACACTATTTATAGTTTAATAATTTATGGCATATACACAATTTGTCATAAACTATTTAATTCAAAGCTATAAACTATATAACTAAAATAATATTTCTCTATTAAAAATTTCCTTGTCCCCAAAAAAGACACAATAATTAAACAATCGTAATGTTCATATATGACCCATGGGACACTGAAATGGGGCAACGAGTAGGCCAACTGAATGGGGCAACGAGTAGGCTAACAGAGAAAGAATTAATTAGGCTTCTGAGGAGTATGAAATAAGAGCTGATATATTTTGTATATAAAAATATGATGATGTTAATTAATGAAATTTTGATATAAAAATTAATAGGCCACAATATTGCGTATTAGTTTTGTACAGATCTTAACAAAAATACTTCAATAAAATTATTGGAGTTACCATAGTAAATAATGTTACAAATAGATTTTACTGCAATTCAAATCTCATATCAATGTCAATAAGTTCGAAAAAATTATAATTCCCCCTTTTTATCATCATCAGTTTTTATCAATATCAAATATTTCAAAAGAATTTAGATAATTAGCCAATAATTAAACATGAGGAAGATTATAATTTTGTTAAAATACATTTTTAATCATGGATTGATTAATGTCTTTCTAATAGCGCATTCAGAAGCACAGGCACAAGGATGTGAATAGGCTGTTTGTGCATTGCTTGCGTGTTTATGCTTGTGCTTACCGCCTATCGGAACAACTATCGGATTTTGACAAAGATCAAGGCTATTTGTGCATTGCTTGCGTGTTAATGCTTGTGCTTGCCGCCGATCGGAACAACTGTCGGATTTTGACAAAGATCAAAGGATAAATGTGCTTGAGTGTACACCATCTTCGTGGCGTACGGATGACACAACAACCCAAATTAATTGTAACAAATATATGTTGGAATAGTCTAAAAATCAAATTTTAAACTTCCTGGACTGTTTACCTAGGAGAAGCAATAATATGGAACCCCAAAATAAGCATCACAAAGACAAAAAAAGTTTGCCGATGCTTGGAAGAGGTTGAGTTGAGTCAAGCTTACTGGGAGTTTTGTGTTAAAAGAATAGAAAGAAAAAGAAGTTCTTATGGGCACATTTAGACGGCACCTGAAAAAAAAAAGGATTCTCCCATGTTTGCACTGACAAGCATGTGAATATGTTACTTGGCCCACATATGTGCACAGGCTGCATGTCGGGCTACCTGTCAGGCTGTGCAATGTGTAAAAAATAAAAATATAAATTTCTTTGCAACTTGTTGTAAACATGTTTAGCGGAAAGTTGCAAAGAAATTTATATTTATTTTTTTTATAATGGAGCAAAGTAACGTTTATTTTAATGTGTGTCTGGACGCACCATAAACATTGACGCTGTTTAGATAATTTAAAAAATTGTCTAACATTAATAAATAAAGCCTATTAGAATTAAGCAACAAGCCTCCTAAAGTGCACATAATTAGTTTTTAGTCTTCTAAAAACTAAAGAAAAAGAAGGCATTGTAACTTCTGAGAGACGCATTAAGTCTTCTGAGAAATATGTAGGTAGATAACAAACAAGATAGATACCTAGCAAGTAAGTAAGTATTACACATGCTGAGAAAGAAGTTACAAGCCTTATAATAAATAGCTAGGATTAGGCTCACCTAGTGAATATTGGCAGGTTATAATGACTACACTTATATAATATAGAATAATAGACTACACATATACACATATACATATATAGAAGAGATGATCCCAGTAACGAAAAAACGACTATTTAATAAGTAATAAAGTTACATATATATATATATATATATATATATATATATATATATATATATATATATATATATATATATGTTCCATAATTAATATACAATCCCCAATAACAAAATATAGCTATAAACAAAGCATCGCAGCATAAACGCAAGCATAAACTTTTAAAACATTTGTTCGGTACTTACGCTCACTTATACTAATGTTTTGATTTTGTAAATCTCTCAAATGTTCGTTTTTATTTGTAAACATTTTGTAATCTTTTCTACAGTAAGCATGTCGTAATAACTTATTTAATTTACCCAAGAAGGAATGATATTAATTAATAATAGTGCTAAAAATGTATGTACACTGCTTTTTTTACGGAACGAATTGTTATTGTCACAGGTAATTATTAATAACTTTTTTGTATTTTTCTATACTCTTCCTATTCTCTCACATTCCAGTCTGTACACCGCGAAAAAATTGAGACAAAAACAAAATATCAAATAACACACTTATTTATTCTCTACAAAAAACCATACACAACTGATAAATAAAACTACGATACTTATTGTAGAAAATTAATAGTTTATTTTACAAACATTCTATGTATGTATTAGAGAAGCTGAAGTTTTATGGCAAAAGAAATAATGAATTGTATTGACAACAGTGGTGGGTCGGCCATTTGCACCGAGTGACAGACTTTTTAGGTCCGTAAAATTAAAATGGTTAAGTTTTTGTTAAAAGTGAATGAATTAAACTAAAAATATAAACAAAGCAATCTACAGTGTTATATCTATAAAATAAAACATAATGATAAAGTAAAACGTACCTGTGCTTGTTGCAGATCATCATTCTGTCACCGGAGACTCACTACGTTAACAATCAAGTTATTCAATGGCGGCCGACGTCTGATTAAATCTATCAAGTTAAGATAGTTACGATATATCCAACATTTACTTTCAGTATTACAATTACGTGTTAAAAGTACAGTTAATATTTACTACTCATTTTATGAAGTGTTTAATTATTTTGGATTCATTATGTTATTCTTAAAATTGTAAAATCTCTCAAATGTTAACGCGGTCTGCATCCGTTCGTCGCTGTCATAGCGCTGTCCCTTTTCCACTTGAGCACATAAACGGAGCTAAATTTTCCGTCGTGCTTCTTCGCGGGCAGTCATTAGAACATTCGTTCAATGGCTGGAGGACAAGAGAAATGGTATTTTACAAAAGAGCAACTACAGAATTCACCAAGCAGAAAATGCGGTTTAGATGCAGATAAAGAGCTTGCCTACCGACAGCAGGCAGCAAACCTTATCCAGGATATGGGCCAACGGCTTCAAGTGTATCCTTTTCAATGTGACGATTTTAAAGTGCAATGTTTTTGTCTAGTCATGTGCGTAAAACGTGTAAAACACGCTTCAGTTAAGTGTTTTTCATTACTTCAAAATGTAACATATAGTTTTTATTCAATTTGAAAGTCTGTGTCGTGTTATATGACGAAGTGCGGCGGTGAAAATTATGACGAAATATCTTCACCTGATTACGGATCGTTACTTTCCCTCGGATACTGGGGAATTCCACCGCCTCGTGGTTTGGAATATCGTTTTCTAAAGGTAAGATTATCGACATTATTACTTATAACTTTGTTGTCGTTTTAGTCATTTAGGTTAGGGCCGCGTGATGGCGTGAAATTTTTTAGGTCAGTGATCCTTGACAGCTGTGGACGCCTGCGCGTATGACGTAGGGTCTGGCAATCGACCTGTCCGCTAAAATTAACCGTCTTTTTCCTCGTTACATTTGCACGTATTGAGTCATTATAGTGTTGTTATCATTTATCATTTCCTGATGGTGGTTTGTATATATACTATGCAAAATATTGCGTTTTGTTTGCCCCGTGTAAGTCATATTCTCAGTGTTATCAGTGTAAAATTTCAATAACATTGTAGATAGTTTGTTTAATGTCATATACGTCAATGACCCTCACATTCATAAAAATTAAAATTATTGTAATGAATTCTTAGCCCCATACCAAACTTACTCGTTCAGAGAAAGGATAATCACTAGTGTAAGTTTAGGTTGTCTGGAAGAAATTGCTGCATAGCAATAGGACCACCTTTTGTTTTTCTCTTTGTTTGTTTCTTGCTAAGTTGTTTTTTTTACTGTTCAATAAAGGGTATTTTATTGTATTGTAACAAGCATTAAGAGAGTTATATAGTTTGATTTTTTATTTATTAATTATAAAATAATACATCACAAACTTACTATCAGTATGGTGAATGATTATGCTTGAATTGTTATTATTAGTGTTAGACACTTACAACCTGAGCCTTTAAAGTACTGGATACCAGAAAACATAAATACTATGGCGCTGAGCTTGATTAGTTTTATAATGTATGGTTTAAGAACTTTATCTCAAGCATTTTACATTTACTTATGAGACTTGCATATCTATAGCTTAATGTGAATTTGGTTTGGGCTCGTCATACGAAGTAACAATGAAAATAATAAGAAAAGTACCGAAAAATACAAAATGTAGGTGGTTATAACGTTTTGTCTAGTGATAGTGAAGGCACGTCTATCTTGGTGCAAATTTGACAGCCAACTTCTTCACACCAATTACAGATACAGATAAGCACTACTGGATACGACTCGCACAATTGACTGATTGGATTAGATTTGTTACTTTAAAAGAATCTGGTTATCATTTATAAAAATTCATTGTACAAAATTGAAATACTTTTTTTAAGCTGTTAGTAAAGAAAAACTTATACAAAATATAATTTTTGTTATAGTGATTGTGAAATATTCTTCTTAAATTAAAATTTTCTACATACTTCTGCCACTAAAAACAGTGCACTCACTTAATGGTGTATTTGAAGGATATGAGAGCTGGTATTAATAAAGATTGTGAGGCGTTTTCTTTTACTTCTTGGAGGTAATAATGCATCTGTAGCATTTGTTTGATATTGGTTACAGGTGTAATGCAGAATGGCTGCAGAACACACTTATTATCAGGTGTATTTTTTATAAAATAAGGGTGACAAACAAGCACACAGTCCACATGATGGTAAGTGGATGCTGTGGCCCATAGACATCTACATTTATCCTCAACTAAGAATCAAAATGCAGATGTGATGTCACCTGTAAGCACTAAGATGGAATGCCTGGTTTCCAGTAAAAAGGGTCTCCGGATCTCTACACTTACCATATGAAACACATCAGTATTAAAGTGCTATTTTATGCTGGTATTCTGTGAGAGTGTGGTCCTTCCCCGGTAGAGCCAACCCATTCATGCTACAACCATAATATAGCTGCAGCATGGCTCCACCACATATGTAGGCAATTTTTTTCAATATGCTAATAATTAATATTATATAGTAGGAGGAAGTGTATGTGGTGTCCTAAACTTGTTTTAGAGAACAATTACTATGTGTAGTAACTTTAGGACCAACTTCGTCTCCATTATGTTATTGAAGTCAAATGGTTCGGAATCATTTTTAACTCTTAAGGTCCAGATTTGTTATACTGTGTAATATCAGAAAAATGACTTTGTATTTTAGCCCCATTTACATTATTTGGTTATTTACAATATGCTGTAGGATGTGAAACTGCAATCTGCTTGAAAAAGATCAAAATTGAAATATAACAGGTTCAATATTGAATATGCACTGCATATTTTTTAATTTTTTTTATAGAAGTAACAAATGCCTAGTCCACATGATGTTAAGTTGATGCTGTGGCCTACAGACATCTAAAACTATCCTCAATTAAAAATAAAAATGCAGATGCATTGTCACACCTGAGGACTAAGATGGATAGTCTCATCATATGAATCAAAGCAGAAGTATGCTGCTATTTCATGTGTTATCTGTGAGAGTGAGGTCTGTCCCCCAGTCTAGTTGCCCCATTTGTACTGCAGCCATAATACAGCTACCGAGTGCCCTAGAGCAATAAACATTGCATTTTCACACACATACCTATTCAAATATAAGTGGTAACAATTTTTAAAATTATTTATTCATTTAAATTTCATGAAAATTACCAATCTTACTACTTGATTTACAATAAATATATCTTATAGAAGTCATGCAGCAGATAAAAACAGATTGCTCTAAAAACTTGTAATTTAATAAAAAACTTGTAATGAATGAGAATCATCACATTTTAGCTGATTTCAAAGAAAGGTGTAACATTTGGGCTTGTTATTTAAAAGCAACACAGACAGACATTTCCTTTTAACATGACTTCAAAAAGGAGGTACTAAAATATTTCAATGCTTTTTTGTATGTTATGTTATGTTATGTCTTCGCCAATAATTGTGAACTGATTTAATGTTTCTTTTTTATTTAACTATACCTCAATAGTGGTCCCATGTAAATTTTAAGAAAGATTCCAGGGTGGATAAATAGGGGTAAACTCTTTTAGCTTGTGATGTTTGCTTAATCCAGTCATCAAATAAAAAAAGGTATAAACATATTTTAAAAAACTAAAATAAAAAAAAATTCACTTAGTTTGCTTTTGAAATTAGTGCTAAGACAATCTACTGAAGAATAAAAACCCTAATTTCAGATTTTTTTAAAAAAGTTTAATTATTTCACTTTTATCTCTAGTTCATAAAAATCCTTCGGAATTTCATGTCTCTTACACCGATCTTACATGGTATACCCACGCTGCAGCTATATTATGCTTATAGCACGAATGGGTCGGCTTGGCAGGGGAAGGACCATGCTCTCACAGAATATCAGTACTAAATAGCAGCCGGAGACCCATTTTACTGAAAACAAGACATTCCATCTTAGTCCTCATGGGTATAAACGCATCTGATTTTTGATTTGTATTCGAGGATAGATGTAGATAGATGTCTATGGGCCACAGCAACCACTTACCATCTGGTGGACTGTGTGCTTGTTTGTCACCCTTAACCTACAAAAAAAATAATGCAAGAGATATAATAGTAACTTTATTTTAGAAACATACCCATACAATGAATAGCTTTTCAAGCCTATTTCACAATAGAAGATACCTCAATTTGACAATGGTAAGCATACTTAACAATGCGACATTTTTCTACCTGGCCATTTTTAGTTAGTACTTTTTTATTGTTATACTCACTTGTTCTTGAATTCACCTGTTGAATTGTGTGTTGTTGTTATCTTAGTTAATTTTTTGCCTCAAGCCCGTAGGAAAAACAAGTTTTACAACAGGATAATAACTGGTATAAGGGTGACTCTGAAAGTTCTTAGAAAATCAAAAACTGAACAAAATAGTTAGTTATTAGTTTTATTATATATTTTCAAAATAGTGTCCATTTACATCAATACATCACTGCATCCGATGAAACCACTGAGAAAAGCACTTTGCCCACTTTTCTTTAGGGGTCTCTTCGACAGCATTATGAAATGCAGACACTGCTTCCTCCGCGCCCATAAAACGTTTTCCTAAAGTTTTTCTTTTATTTTCGGAAATCAATAAAAATCACAAGATGCGAGGTCGTGCCTATAGGGCAGATGACCCAGTAATTCCACTTCGCCAAGTAGTCGATTGTTTGCTTGGCAGTGTGCGAAAAGGCGTTGTTGTGGTGAAGGAGGATCCTACTGCAAGATTGTTTCTACCGAACTTTTTCCAAGACATAGCAAACAATTATTAGTGTACCACTCTGCAGTAACTGTTTTTCAATCCTCTAAAACAATTGTTGCATAATGACCTGCCCTTCCAAAGAACGAGGCTACCATCTTTTTTCCCATGCTTCAGCCTCTCTTCACTTTAGTTTGCAACTCCTCGGAAGGAAACATCCAGACAGCAGACTATCTCTTAATTTCGGGATCATAACAATAGATCCAGTTTTTGTCACCTGTAAGTATGTCGAACACACAGCATTTGAGTCACCTCTGTTAAATCTTTTAACCATTTCACAACACCAATCAACACGACGGAGTTTTTGGGCCTCTGTCAAATTATGAGGTATCCACCAAACACAAAGCTTCCTGACCGATAAATGTTCATGGAGGATTTTGTGCACTTGACTCATACCAATGCCTAAGCTTATCCAAATCTGCTGATCTTCAAGTCACTCTTTTGTAAATCTATCATACGCCGCACAACACGGATGTTATCTTCAGTCGTCGCCGTAGAAAGACGTCCCTCACGCAGATCATCGGTGAGATTAGTGTGTTAGTTAGACCACGTTTAAACTTTTCAAACCAGTGTAAACAGTGGCACAAGATGGTGCTTCATTGTGAAAAGCCAATCGAAATCTATCATAACTTTCTTGTTGACTTAAATGACATCGAAAACGGTTTTATAGTAATACTTTGTCTTCAATGATTAAGTGTTCTAAATCAA